ATACCACCTGCCTGGAATCCCATTCCTCTGTGGACTTTTTATAAACTTTTTGTTAAGTGCTGTTGAGTTGATTCCAACTCATAGCAACCCTGCATAGGGTTGCCAAGGAGCACTTGGTGGGTTTGAACTGTCAACTGTGTGGTTCAAGTCTAGTGCTGATCCTACAGCACAACGTTAGCATTTAATGGTTTCCACCTAATATCTAAGGAGCTCTGGTAGCGTAGTGGTTACGAATCAGGATGCAAACCTTAAGGTCAGCAGTTGGAAACTACCAGCCACTCCACGGGAGAAAGATGAGGCTTTCTGCTCCCGTAAAGATTTACAGCCTCAGTAACCCTGTACAGGGTCACTCTGGGTCAGAACCAACTCGATGGCACTTAACAACTTATAAATAAATGATTATTTATAAAATACATGAAAGTATAAAGGAGTAAATTTAGGTTACACAAACATCAACCACTCATAAATTATTTAACCAGTCCCTCTCTGTTGGACATTTAGGTGGTTTCCTATTTCTTGTTATCATGAATAATACTGTGCTGAAGAGCCTAGTACATACATTCTGTATGCACATTGTTTCCTTAGCATATATTCCTAGAATTGTGGATTTAAAAGATATGAACACATCTAAGTTTTTTGATACACAGTACTAAAGGGCTTTACAAAGTTAGAAGCAATTTATATTCTCAGTGTGCTGATTCTGCCAACTATTATCAATTCTAAGGAGCTCTGGTAGTGTGTAGTGGTTACCAATCAGGCTGCTAACCTCAAGGTTGGCAGTTGAAAACTACCAGCCATTCTGCGGGGAAATGATGAGGCTTTCTGCTCCTGTAAAGATTTACAGCCTCGGAAACCCTGTACAGGGTTGCTATGGTCGGAACCGACTCCACGGTACTTAACAATAACAACATTATCAGTACTGGAAAATTCTTCCTTCCCAAATCTTTGCCAATTTACTGTAAAAGTGCTATGTCTGTGTTGTTAATATGACTCATGAAGTTGAACATGTTCTTCTTTTATTTACTGTAACTGAAATTTTTTATGTTCCTACCTATGGCGGCTTCAGCAAAAGTAAAAGCACTGGTGTTCTGAAGTGATTCAGAAGCTCTCTAAACTTAGGGATGTTGTTGTTAAGTGTCATCAAGTCAATTCTGACCCGATGTAACCTTGTATAGAGTTTCCGAGCAGTAGTTGGTGAGCTTGAACCGCTGACCTTGAGGTTCAAAGCGATTATCTGACAAAGCTGTGAGAGTAGAGAGAATTCTCAAAGAATTGTGAGAATTTTCAGATTAGCATTGAGCTCTGTATTTGGCATTAACCTGAAGCTCTTTAAAACCCTCGGGCCGTTTATCATACAGCACATCTCCAAGTACTTCCTCGGTGGTGCAAGGGGTTAATATGAGCTCAGGCTGCTAAGCAAAAATTGGAGGTACAAGTCCCCACTAAAGTGCCTTGGAATGAAGTCTGGTGGTTTTCATCCCCCAAAATTCACCACTGAACACCCTCTGGTACATAGTTCTCCTCTGACGAGTCCCAGGAGACTCAAAGACAACTGGGTAAGGCTTATGGCCTCCAGGTGGCCACCGTTCACCCAGTGGTTCCTGTTCAGCTGGTGCTTTGATGTCGATCAGGCCCACACAGTTGCACTCGAGAATCTGTCCACCCCTGGGTAGCAAACCTCCTCCCAGGTCTCTGCTCCCCTAATGCTATCTCCTCCTGTGAATACAAGACTGAACTGTGGCTTGCCCACAGCAAATTAAACAAGAGTGTCTTCAAAGCTTTTCTTGTGCTCTAATCTCTCTGAAACGACAGATCAGCTTCCTAATAGCGAACCCACAGCCTGGCCCCACAGAGGGTCTGAAGAGAGGTGGGATTCTTGGTTACAGTGCTAAGCCCAGCTTCAGGCAAGCACAGTGGGACCTCCAGGGCCCACTTCCTTTCTTTCAGGAAAAGACAAATACAAGACTGAAAAAGTGCTTTGGAGTAGACATTCTCATCCTTAACAGGCAAATATAAACATTTCACTAATTAGCAATCTCACAGAACATGGTTCTTTAATTCTCAAGTTCACTTCTTGTCTTATTCTTTTTTTGTTGTTTTTGAAAGAAGAAAACCTTTCTTTGCCAGTATACTGTAAATGGACTCATCTCTAAAATCACATGTTGGTTAGATTTCCAAAGTTATGGAGAATGAGGGAGATACTTACCCTGCTTTCATTAAAATGTTTGTCCTTTAAAGCTAGACTTTTCCAGAACAGAAGGATGTGGTCATTTTCTGTTATGATTTTTAAGGCATCAGGTGCTGATAACGAAACTGCAAATTAAAGATGAAATAGAATGCTGTTAGCAGATACATATTCAAACCTCTATTTTCTCATCTATAAAAGGGAGCTCAGTAATGTTAATCTTGAAGAGCTGAACTAAGAAGGCATAAAACACATCTGAGTATACTCTGCTTAGTATGTTGTTGTAAGTAACTCATAACAACTCTATACAGGATTTCCAAGGAGTGGCTGGTGGATTTGAACCACCAACCTTGTGGTTAACAGTCCAGAGCTCACCCAACAACACCACATTTCAAAAATCTTGTGGCAAAGTGGAGTGAACAGATAATGGAATATTTCCGTGACCTTTCTGAAGCCCCCAGTATAGAATCTAGCACACCGTCGTCAATACTCTTTAACTGGCACTTGTTTTGTTCCGGTTATTACTTCTTTATCTGAGAAATGTGGTTTCCTGGGGCCCTTCGGATGGTTACAAGCACTGGAGGAGGCAAGGCTGGAGGCACGGGGGCAATGCTATGGCACATTCTGCACCGGAATGAATGTCTGCTCCAGTTCCTGTTTGCCTTAGTCCTGTTCCATAGTTAGAGGAGGCTCCGAGTCCCAGAGCTCGGCCTGAGGACAGAGCACTGGATGACCACTGAGGATGGTCCAGAAACACTGCTGCCAGTTGTGGGATGGAGCCTCTGTCACTGACACTCCTGACTCTATGACTGTCCGAATAGCAGATCATGTCGTGTGCACTCGGAACCTGAGCCTGGCTGTGGAGTCTGCTCCATCATCCACTGCCCAACTATTAGTCCTTCTCCATTTCTACATGTCATACTGCCACAGGAAACCACCACGACTTCAGAGCAGGCCCCCAGATGCAACGACTGGCTTGTGTTCAGGCTTATCATCTCTAGGACTTAAAATATTTCCTGATGAACATCAAAGAGCACAGCCTTCAGTATGGATTACATCTCAATGTAAAGAAAACAAAAATCCTCACCACTGGACCAATAAACAACATTCTTATCAGCGGAGAAAAGATTGAAGTTGTCAAGGACTTCATTCTTCTTGGATCAACTATCACCACTCAAGGAAGCAGCAGTCAAGAAATCAAACATACTGCATTAGGCAAATGTGCTGGACAAGACCTTTTTAAAGTGTTGAAGAGCAAGGATGTCAGCTTGAGGGCTAAGGTGTGCCCAACCCAAGCCATGGAATTTTCAATAACCTCATATGCATGTGAAAGCTGGACAGTGAATAAGGAAGACCATAGAAGAATTGATGCTTTTGAGTTATGGTGTTGGAGGAGAATATTGAAAGTGCCATGGGCTGCCAAAAGAACCAATAGATCCATTTTGGAAGAAGTGCAGCCAGAGTGCTCCTTGGAGGCCAAGATGGCCAAACTTCGTCTCTCATACTTCAGACATATTGTCAGGAGGGACCAGTCACTGGAGAAGGATATCATGTTTGGTAAGGTGGAGGGTCAGAGAAAAAGAGGAAGACCCACAATGAGATGGATTGGCCAAGTGGCAGCAGTAGTGTGGTTGGCCCAGGATCGGGCAGTGTTTCGTTTTGCTGTGTATAAGGTCTCTATGAGTCGGTACCGACTCAATGGCACCTAACAACAACAACAACTGCAGTATCAAAACCAGCTAGAGGAGAGGAGACTAACGGGAGCTAAGGAGTCTGGGAAGCAGTGGCCATTTGGAGCTCCTCACTGCCCTGCCCCAGTGGGGATGAAGAGGCAATGTGTGAAAGTCTGGAAAGAAAGGGCAAGTCTTAAGCCCCTCCTCCTGGTGTGGCATTGCGGGTTAACGCACTGGACTGCAAGGTCAGTTTGAACAACAAGGTTGGCAGTTGAAGCTCACCAATTGCTTCTTGGAAACCCTATACAGGGTCGCTATAAGTCGGAACTGACTAGATGGCACTTAACAACAACAACAAGAGCCCTCCCTAGTAGCACACCCTGGGAACCTTCCTGTGCAAGAAAGCTTCTAACTGCTCTGCGACTTACCTGTGGTAATTTTTATACTGGAATCCTTGCTCATGTTCCCCAGCTGGACAATGACATGGTATTTCCCTCCAGGTTCCAACTTGCTAATGGTGTATTCCACGGTACTGTTGCGGGACTTCACTTTGTAGCTCCTGTCAGTCTTTCTTATTAGATCTTTAACTGCAATTGCATAAAACTAAGACAAGAGGAAGAGTCACATTAACAGTAATCAGGAACTTTGCATGTTTTACTTTGTAATTCAGTAATGGACAATGTTACCCGAGTACATTAGTGACTGTGACCAACAACATTGTCTTGAGCTCCAAAGTCTGACTCCATCCTTTAGAAAGTTTGTGAACTATTCAGCTTAAAATTTGTAACACTGTATAGAATTATCAATTAGATTTAAAAAAAAAAAAAAACAACTCTAGGGAAAGCCACGTTAAAACTGTGACATCGGCAAGGAGCAGGAAAGAAAAACCCAACCTCAATATCTCCTTCACTGCAATCATTTGGGAAAACTGTCAGTAAAGAGAGAATGAATGAAAGTGTTCCGTCCTAGCTCTAAAGGGCAGAGAACTATACTTTGATTCTTATGTATAAAGCAAGGGAAAGATAGAGAGACCTACAATGGGTATCAGATACTCAATCATCAGGAGGAAGTTGAGGGTCAAGAGGAGTTTTCATACCAACCAGAGTAATCATGCATTTAAAAGCAACCATCCCAGATTGGGTAGACTAAAAGCAACCCATAGCAAGGAAAAGTGGGAGCAGGGGCCAGAAAACTTCTTCTGTAAGGGACCAGTCAGTACATATTATATTTTAGGCTTTGATTGCTATAAATCTCCCTCACAAGTACTGAACTCTACTGTCTGTAATAACATAAAAGCAGTCACAGACAGTATATTAACAAATGGATGTAACTCGGTTGTGATAAAACTTTATTTATAATGATAGGTGATTGGCTACATTTGGCTCATATGCCATAGTTTTCTGACTCCTGCTTTAGAGGGGCAGGGAAGGGGCACAAAAGAGCACAGAGAAAGGGAAGAGCAAGTCAATATGGCATCTGGGCTTAATAAAGGAGAGTTTCTCAGGAGACAGGTCTGGTGATTCACCCATGACAAATCAGCCATCACAGTTCTACTCTGACCTGGCAGCGTTGTCATGATTCAAGGTCAACTGGCCAGATAGAAGTGAGCAGCCACTAGGCCTGCGTTTTTCTGTCCCAGGATCAGATCCCTCTACGCATCCCAAGACTGAGCAAGACTACCAGATGGATGCCTGGCTGCTCACCAGGTCCTGGTCAGGAGAGTCGTACGGTGATTCCCACTTGATGACAGCTGAGGTTTTGCCTGTATGCACCACATGAAGGTGGCGGGGTGGAAGCCTGCTGTCTGGGATCATCTTCACTACGATGTAGTCGGACGATGGCCCTTGGTAAGGCATCATCACTCGGACCTAGAGGGCCCAAGCACATGCACAGGAAGTGAAGGCTTCATGGGCTGCAGACAATCTCTATTAGATTAGACAGTTGTTTCTTCCCAACAAAACAGCAACATAAGGACACAATAAAGTATCAGTACAAAAGGCAATCAACTGTACAGTAACTCTTCCTTCCAGAAACACCCTATGTTATCTAGGCAAAGCTATAGTGTGTGCGTGTGTGTGTATACATATAGAATACACGCATATGTGCATGTATGTATACACTTGTGTGAGTTCGTACGTATAAATACATACATATATACACACGTGTGTATGCTGTTATTAAGTGCCATGGAGTCGGCTCCAACTCATAGTTGAACCACTGACTTTGCAGTTAGCAGTCCAGTGCTTATCCTACAATATCACATCCTCTCTGTAACATCTCCTTAAGAGGATTCCATCTCATTAACTAGTCCTCTCTTAACAGCTGCTTCCTATACCTTGCGATCACAAGTGCACCAAACATTTTTCACCTTATCTTTGCACACATGTTCCAAGTACACAGGTTAAATTCCTAGAGATGAAGTCCTATAAAAGTTTTTGATTTATGTACAGCTATGACTCAGTCACCAAATTATCAACATTTCACAAGCAAGCTGCAATTGGTCAGGCTTTGTTTCAACAATATGGAGGGACCTCCTTTTGGTGACCAAGAGTTCCTGACCCCCAGGGGCTGGGTTAGAGCTCAGGAGGCCATAAGGTGGGGCATCCCTTTAAAAAAAAAAAAGCAAACTGCATGGACAGGTACACTTACCAGAAACAAATACTGCTCATCCCTATTGACTATTACTGTCTTGTTGTGGAATGAAGTTGTCACGCTCTTCGGGTTGCAATAGAGGTCAAGAAAGGATGTAGCATAGAAGATGCCATAAACCTGGTGAAAGCAGAGGACGAAAACGTGCATCACCTCACTGGACAGTGGCCTCATCCTCTTGAGATCTCTAATCAAGACCCCGGAAACAACTTCAATATTTACTCCAATAGCATTTACAGAGAAAGTGCTTAATTGTGCTAGGCACACTAGTTGTACCTACAAAGATAAATATGAAGTGGTCTCTGGTCTAAAGAGCCCAGTCTTGAGAAGAGAAACAGGCAAGACCATAAGTAAAAAGCTTCACGCATATGGCGTTCCATGTCCTCCGAGCCAGGGTAAGAGAAGGGTTACCAGGGAGGGTGGCTCTCTTCCTGTCTGCAGCACAGATGGCAAGTTGAGCGGATATACTGACTGAGGTGGAGGCCCTGCGAGTTTAGAGAGTGAGAGGGAAGAGCTCAGGAAGTGTGTGTGGAGGGATCCAGAATGGACACAGCCAGCTGCCCAGCCAACACCAATCTCCTTTTCTGCTTTAGTAGGACTTTGGTTTAGAGCGAGAATTGCCATCTGGAAAAAAGGTAACATTTTCCACCTTCCTGGAAGCAAAGAGAGGCCACATGACAAAGTTTTGGTTAATGTATGGAGGCAAGAAGGGTCACATGAGACCTTAATGAAGACTCATGTAAAGAGTGATGATCCCTTTTTAACTTCCTCCTGTCCTGCTGCCTGGAGTAGACCTTGGGCCACACAGGCACCTTGAAGATGGCCACCACATGCTGGGTTCCTGGATCCTCTTCTGCTACTATTTCAGAAGCCCAGTGTTTGAGTCACCCCATGCTGCTGTAATAGAAATAGCATAAATCGGTGGCTTTTGAAACAGCTTTTCTCACAGTTTAGGCAGCTGGGAGTTCAAATTCAGAGCGCGGGCTCTCGGGTGAGGCTTGCTCTCTCTGTGCACTCTAGAGGAAGGTCCTTGTCTCTTTGAGCTTCTGCTTCTGGGGGATGTTCATATGGCTTAGCATCTCTCTTCTCCTATCTAGCTCTGCTTCTTTCGCCCACTTGTTTGATCTCTGATGATCTCAGAAGAGATTGGTTCAAGACAGACCCATTTCCAAATGGGATTATGACCTTTAGGATTCACAATGCATATTTTGGGGGGTACCATTTCTCAGATGCCAGGCAAGGGTGTAGAAAGTGATACTGGTCCTGGGATGTCAGTTTCTCCTATAAAATGGAGAATCCAGAATTGACCAAGAGTATACCTTGTGTTTGGGGTCATGGAGTGAGACAAGGAGGAAATGGCAACTGAGGAGACAGCTCTGGGACTTTCTAGTGGCCTGGCATCAGGGAAGAGGCCGACTTACCACATTCCTGGGACCAGTCCAGCTGCATTCCACAGCGGTCTGATTGATGGCCTTGGCTTTGAGGCTAGGGGTGGGTGGACGAGTCCCGTTGGTCATGACATGCTCAAATGCCAAAGGACTGTCCCCCAGGTCTGTTCTGGCCCAAGCAGAGAGTTCATAGGCTGTATGAGCTGTCAGATTGCCGACTGTGGAGATGCAGACATGAAGATGAGAATTGGCATCATAATATACATATCTTATTTCTAAAAAATAAAATGAGATCTTTCAAAAATAGAAAGTTCCACATGTTGTAGGACTTTCATTACCTTACAAATTTAATGATGACCACATGTAATACTGGGAGCACTGGACCGTGAACCACAATCCAGCGGTTTGAGCCCACCAGCTGCTCTGCGGGAGAATGAGGTGGCTTTCTGTTCTCAGACACCCTAAACAGGGTTGTTATGAGTCAGAACTGCCTCCCTGGCACTTAACATGATGGATACTGGGTAAAGGCTTTTAATGTACCACCTAGAGATATAAATTTGTGTAGCCCTCCTGGAAAGCCACTTGGGTGGCTTTGGAAATAATCTTTTTCAATCCGGTCAGATGATGAAATCAGAGAGGGGCTGAAAAATTTGTTTAATGAAGATGTTCATCACAATGTGGGCTACAAAACCTGTATACAGTCTGAATGTCTGGCAAAAGTTAAATAAACTTTATTATATGCACACCAGGTCCTATAAGTTATGTTTTCAAAGAGCATTTAATGTTTTGGGAACATTTTACAGTTTGATGCTACATGAAAATGATAAAATGTAAAACCACAGATATTATTTCAGCTTATATATCTATAGCTATGTATCTATGTATGTATCTATCTCTATCTATCTCTATCTATCAATCTATCTATCTATAAATAAGTCGATTCAAAGAAAAATTAACTTGATAGGTATCTAAAATGTAAAAATGATTTCTCTAGAAAGTGAAATTATGGAAAAGTTGAGTCTCCCTTATGTGTGTGTATGTGTGTGTGTATGTGTGTGTGTATGTGTGGTAAATGTTAAGTCACTACCTGAAAGCAACCTTAAATAGAATTTCCAAGGAGCAGCTGGTGGATTTGAACTGACAACACTGTGGTTTGTGCCCAGTGTTGATTCTACAGCGCCACACCGGGAGTCCATATATACATATTGTTGAGTGTGTTCCCATTTTCTAAATTTTCTGTAATAAATGTGCTCCTTTTATAATTAGGGGAAGTCTTCCAAAAATAAAAGAACCATGAACAAACAGGAAGATGTATTACCAGTGTGGTCTTTGAAATCAAAAGGACTTGGGTTCAAGGCATCACTCCACACTTTGTAATTATATAACCTTTGGTAAAGTAACTTCCTTAAGTCTGTCTCCTTGTTTCTAACAGTATTTGTAGCACCTGGTGATTGTGGTTATTAAAAAAGAAAATGCTTCTAAAACACTTGGCATGAAGATTAGCATGGAATCCGTCCTTACTGTATTTCAGACAATAGCTACTAAGACCTGTATTTTGTTTCTGCTAATTGCTAACGATGTGGCATTGAGAAAATGTAGGCCACAGGCTTTGTAATGAGAAAGACATGGGCTCCAGTCCTGGTCCATCAATTAGTCTCTGAACCCCAATTTCTCATCTGTAAAATGATATGCCCCACAGAGTTACCATATGGTTGTGTGAAAAAATCTACATAGAAGATCCCTGCATGTGCCTTCATGCAGTAGGTATACAATGTTATTTTTACTCTTGCATACCTTTCTTAGACAAGTTACATAACCTAGTGGAACCTCAGTTTAAAAAATAATTTAAAAACAGTGACAGTAATAGAACCCGTGTACTTTCTACTTCATAAGGTTATAACTAGGATTGAATGAAAACCTAACTGAAAGTGCTTTACCAACAGGCTACAAGAGGAGCCCTGTGCCACACAACATTCAGAGGCAGCCTCTGTCAGTGATGACTTGTCTTTTGACATCAAAATCCTGCTTTAACACAATTTCCAATTTGATCACTTAAATCAAGAATCAGTATTAGCACAGATGTTTTCCGTAGGTTGTCTGTGCATTCATTCATTCAACAATATTTACTGGATGACAATGATACACTACTTATGAGGCAAAGCAGGAGCAAACAGCCAGAAAAGGCTGCTGGTAACTACATCCAGGACCTTCCCCAATCTTCTGTGAGCAGTTAATCTGGCCACTTTCTAGTTTCTTCTCATTTCTACCCTCAGACTTCTGTAAAGAGCCATCAGGTTAGAAGGGCGTGGAGGCAGTCCCATTTTACATACTTAAAGTGGGTAACAACCACTCCATCACATGCTAGGAATGAAAACCAGTTTCCATTCAAGTGGGCCTCAATTCATGGTGACCCCATATGTCAGAGGAGAACTGTGCTGCATAAAGCTTTCAAGAACTGACTGCTTTCTGGAAGTAAGCAGATTGCTAGCCATTTCTTCTGAAGCACCTCTCTGGGTGGACTCAAATTGCCAACTTTTCAGTTAGCTGCCAAACACCATCCACCACTTGCACTACCCAGGGACTCCACTGCTCAGAAAGTGCATCTGTTTAAGGAGCCCTAGTGGTACAATGGGCTAAGCATCAGGTTGCAACCTCAAGGTTGGCAGTTCAAACCCACCAGCTACTCTACTCTAAAGGCAAAAGTTGACGCTGTCTTCTCCTATAAAGATTTACAGCCTCAAAAACCCTAAGGAGTGGCTCTGTTCCGTCCTGTTGGGGTGGCAATGAGTCAGAATGGACTCGACAGCATGGTGGTCACTTCTTCTTTCCTGCTAGCAGCACACTGACTAGCACCCAGCGTTACCTTTGTGTGACAAGATACTCCCTTGGAAGCTCATGGTTTTCTTCTCTTGTTTGTGGGTGTCAAATGCCCAGAACAGGTTCACCACATAGCCATTTACCTGCCAAGGATCCAGAAACATGTTACAGGGATGGCTCTGTAGTCACAGAGCACAACGCATTACTAAAAACACTCCCCGTTCTCTGACATCGCCTTATCTTATTTTCCTCACAATGAATGGGCTCTTTCTTTTGATTTTTAAACCAGTTCTATTTATTCCATCAGTAAATCATGTTCAGGTCTACTACATAATATGTAGGTCTACGCCACTTCTCAAAACAAATGGGAGGCCATCTAAGATACAAAACACAGATTCAACAAAACAGAGGTAGCAGTGAGCAGATTATGAGGCTGAGAAGGAGCAATAGTAATGAAGGATAAAGCTTTGCTCAGCATTTCCTGGAGTCAAGGCCAAGAGGGCAACAGAAAGGGGGTTAGTCAGTGCTAACTGTCTGACAGGAATAAACACAGCCACACAGCAGGAAGGAATACCTTTTCCAAGCCCAGAGCTTATAGATGGATCTGCTCTAAAGCTCTTTCAGAAGGGAACAGCACACAAATGTTTGCAACTCCAAACACTACAGAGAAGATGCAAACAAGGCCATGTCTTGCACTGACCCAAAGGTATGGTACTCAATTGTAGTCTGGCAAATGGAACTCAATAAGGGAGCCATTGTTTTGGCACAAGCACTAGAAGGGCTCTGTGGTCTGCCACACTCAATGGCTGGAAGGGATGTGAGGAGGGGCAAACAGAAAAGAAAGAACGCTATGAAGGGAGAGGGGTAGACTTTCAATATGAGAAACCGCTTGGGCACTGAGGATGCTGGTGAAGTTGCCCATGCAGGTGGGCCAAGGGGAGGAGGATGGTGGTGTTGGAAGTGGGGTTCAGCTGGGTATATTTCCAAAGTATCTGAGCATCTCACAAGAAAGCTGCTTTTCCCTGTGGGAACCTCTGCATTACCGCTTAAGCACCAGGAAATCCAATAAAGCTGAAAATTACAGGGCAGACGTATTCTGTTCTGTTAACGCCAACTCTTTATTTGCACTGTGGTTGTGAACCATTTAATTATAGGGTTAAAAAAAAAAAAAAGGCACCAGGCTAAAGCAGAATAATTACATATGAAGACTCAAAGTTGTTCTTCATGGGCGGGGGTGGGGGTGGGGGTGAACCAACCAAACTAGTTATGGTCTTCTAGCTTCCCCCCATTGAATTGAGTCATTCTTGGTGCTTAATCTCCCTGCACTGTGTTGTCTCAGTTCCCAGACAAAGGAAAGCCCCACCCCACTGCTACTTTGACATTTCAACATTACCTTGATGTCAGTTTCCACCGTCAGCGTAAAGCTTAGGGAATTTTCATTGTAGCTGTCAATGTGGATATGTGGCGGTGGGATCACTAGAAACAAAAAAGAATTCAAAAAGAGAAAGCACGTGATGAAAAGTGAGGAAGGCAGGGCTCAGGAGTTTTCAACTCAACAGACAAAGCGATCTTTCAGCTGGGGAAGAAAGGGCATTTCTCTGACTGTTCTGACTCTTCTATCTCTTTTACCACTGTTTCCCTGATGCTGAAGTTGGATCCAGACTTGCCTGGTGAACACAGAACTCTGCTGGCTCAATTGCTATCCTGGCAATCGGTCTGTGCAGAAAAGTTCCATGATATCATGCTCCAAACAGCCTGGCCACAGCCTGCTCCTTAAAGGGGCAGAGCTCACAGTGAGTGTCCCAGTAGGTTCAAGTCCTTTTCTAAAGTTTGATAGGAGCGTAAACCATAAACCACCAACTATAAATGTCCATGTGGTAGAATGGAAAGAACCTGGCCTCTGGAGTCTGACAAGCTCCAGTTTAAATTTCTGTTCTGACATCTGGCAAGGATATAACCTGGAGCGAATTATTTAGCTCTACTGAGCCTAGAGCTAGTATTTACACTTCACAACAGAAGAGCTGTCACCAAGTAGACTATGACTGATGTCAACGCCATGTGTACCAGAGTACAACTGTGCACCACAGTGCTTTCAATGACTGATTTTTCCTCATGTACACCCACCAGCCTTTTCTTTCAAGACCCCTCTGGGTGGACTTGAAACTGCAACCACCCAGGGACCTCACAGAGCTGTGAAAATTCACCATATGTGTACAATGACTAGCACCTAACTAACATTCCATTTTCCCAGCTCTCTCCTACTGATGAAGCCCCACCTTCAATCACATGACAGATTAGAGAATGAGAAAGCAATCTGCTTTCTCAAAAAGATCTGAACTCACATTGAGTGTTGAGGGAGCAAGGAATAAGAGTCAGTGAAAGAAAAAAACCCCTCTCTGTTCAAATGATGGACCCGACACTTGTCACTTTGGAGGTCTAACCATATTAAAGATGGCAGGGCTTTGCCAGGAATAATCTAAAAGGGCTCAGTGGAATAAATGCTATCAGAAGACAATATTTATGTGGAAACTTGCCTATTAGACTCAGTGTCATCTAGTTGATTCCAACCCATGCCAACACTCTAGGACAGAGTAGAACTGAGCCCTTAGGGTTTTCAAGATTGTAAACCTTTAAGGGAACAGACGTCCTCATCTTTCTTCCATAGAGCAAGTGGTAGGTTTGAACTGCTGACCTTGTGGTCAGCACCCATTACTCCACCAGAGCTCCTTGTATATCAGGGCCTTGGCATACACATCCCTTATATAGACAAGGCAAGAGAGACTCAAAGAAGTCAACTAAGATTTGGTGGCAAAAGAGTTATGCTAAGAATTGAAGAAGCCACTCCAGATGATCAGCCATGCCAGGCTCAAGCAAAAGGAAGTAACAGAAGACAAGTGAACGCTAGGAGTTTCAGGCAGCCACCTTAGAGCAAAAATAACTTGGGTGCTCCCGCAAAGCAGACCTGAATGAAAATCTGGTGGCCTTGGGGCAAGTCACAAACCCCTCCAAATTCTAGAATCTTCAGCTACAAAATGAGGATACCATTTACCTTAAATGGCTTATTAAGGATTAACTGAGATCAATTTATATTAAACACCAAGCACAGTGCTTAGTATATACATGCAGTGCCCAACAGATGGTGTTTTTTATCATGGTTGTTATTAATCTGCTACATTAACTAATCAATTTGGTGTTTCCAGTTCAAAGAACTGCTGGTTCTGCCTAAGTTCTTGTCTTCTTAGTATATTCTTATGGATACAAGGTCACAGATATTTTACAACAAATATTTTTTAATACAACACAGATGTCTTCTGTACATATCCTAACTATAACATATGCCAGAAGATGAGCTTCGTAAGAAAAACAAAACAGCAAAACAAAAAACAGAAGTTTAAGAGAAGTGACCACTCACTGAGATTTTCAAACCCAAGCGTGACTTGTGTCAAGGGAACTCAAAGTTTTGTGTTGACCTTCCAACATCTCTTCTTTATAGTATGTAGGTCAGTTTGTCTTATTGTGGTAGTTTGTGTGCTGCTATGATGCTAAATGTCACCAACAGGGTCATCCTTGGTGGACAGGTTTCAGCAGAGTTTCCAGAGTAAGACAGACTAGGAAGACAGACCCCATGACCTACTTTCCCAGAATCAGCCAGTGGAAAATGGCAAAAGAGTACTGTCTGAGAGTACTAGAAGGTAAGTCCTGTAGGTTGGAGGGCTGGTAAAACTCAATGACCACAACAGTGCACTCAAACCTGCAAACAATCATGAAGATAGCACAGCTGAGCAACATTTTGATGTCATACATGAGGTCACCATGAATCAGAACTGACCCAATGGTAACTAAGCGCAGCATGGTCAGTATGTTTTGACTCTGGTTTTGTAGAGGGGAAGCAATGAATGTGAATTCAGCACACTTTTTCTAATGTCAACAAATATTCTGCTCCAAAAACTGATTTGCTTCGCTCAACTTAGCTGTCTCCTGCCCTGATTTCAGAATAAATCCTTGACTCCATATATTAGTGGTAACCAGAAGTAACCCTAAAGAAGTCCCAGAGCCTGCGTCTCACAGACCACGGGTTCCAATCAGCTCCCCACAAGTGCCCTTCTGATTTTAATATCAGCAAGGCCAGAAAGGAAAGTCCCAAGCTCTAGAGTTTTAATAAGATCAGGAAAATCACTCAGGGAGATGATGTGTACTTAACCTCTGAAATGTGCCCAAACCCTTCATTTTCATTTTTCAGTTCACTCATTCAACAATGATTTCATTAGTATGAACTAATGTTGCAAGCTCTTTACTAGATCCAAGAGACAGAGTGGAGAAGATGAGACAGCCCCACTCTCTGCCCAGGGCAGCATGCATGCAAGGCAGGGAGCCAGCCTCAGAGGTAGGGCAGGGTGGGGCAGTGGCAGGCTGTAGGCGGGTAGGGGTTGTATATTGCCTGAGGAGGAGGCAGCATAGCACAGGCTTTAGAGACAGGCAGAGCCAATTCCAATCCCAGCTCTGTCTCTTACTGATGGTGTGACCTGGGGCAGATGACATAGCTCTCTCTATTGCCTTATCTGTGTCCTTCTAGTTAGAGGGGTTCAATTAGATGAGCTACCGCTGCACTGATGGCTCATTGCATGCGCTCACTTGGCTAGGCTTGGCACCTAGAGGTGTGTTAATGCATGTAGATACCTTCATGTCAACACTAGTCTAAACATTGGCATGAAGGTATCTACATGTATTAACATATAAATTCATTGGCCTTACATGTAACAGATTACCCTCTGTAATGAGGGTAGGCCCTGCCCAATCAGTTGAAGGCCTTATGAGCAAAAAACCTACGGTTTCCAAGAAGAAAAGGAATCTGCTGCAAGACTGTAAAATAGCTCTTGCCAGTTTCCAGCCCACAGCCTAGCCTACAGATTTAGACACAAGATTGCTGGAGTTCCCAGCTTGTCTGTTCTACAGGTTTTAGACTTGCCAGCCCCGCAAGTGAGGGAACCAATGCCTTAAATAAATCAGTATCTTAGTAGGCAGATACATTCGTTGGCTCTGCTTCTCTGGAAAACCCTAATACGTACTCCAAAGAGTCTGACCCCTGGCAGAGAATCAATTATTAGTAACATCAGCTCTGGAACTGGAAGCGGCCACCTACACACCATCTTCCAGAGTCACTGGGAACAGTAACAAGCACCAGCAAAGCTGTTTTCTCAAAACCCCAGAAGCGAGCATGTGCACAGGCACCTTTATTGAGGAGGAACGCCTTTCGTTTGGGGTACTGTGCTACCTGTGTACAAAGGGCTGGGCACGATGGCCTTTGGGAATCCTTGGCATGTTGGCAGCATACAAAATGCTGAATTCCAAGATGAGTTAGATACTCAACAGTCATCCCCAAAAGAGTACAACCAAAGCCCTCTGACTAAACCCAGAAATGTGTGTGTCTGGGGAAAAGGGGCCTTTTCTAATCCATGCCATACTCAAAGTTATCTCCAAAGGCTTTCAATCTGCAAATGCTGGAGTCATTTACCTTTTCCTTTTATGGTGGTAATGGATTTAGAATCGCTCCAGTTTCCTATTCCACGACTAGTCACCGCAGCCACCTTTTCAGAGCAGAGTGTGAATTAGTGTGAAATAAAGCCAATATACCATATAGTGAGAACTCTGAATGCGCTACAGAGGCCAGACTTGGGCAGTGGGGATAGAAACACCATATTCAGAGTGATCCAGGACATTCAGAGACCCCCGTACCTGAAATGAGACAGGAAAGAGACAAAAGAAAGGAACCAGGGCAAAGGGAATAATAATAGTGCTAAATAATGGAATTTCTATCGACTGACAGATGCCAAGGCTTTTCTATAGGGCAGGGGTATGTATGTGTGTATGTATGTGTGTATGTATCTATATAAACACATACATATGTGATATGTGTATCTATACACAGAAACACTCATACATATGAAAAAGGTGTTGCCAGGAGTTCTGAGGTGGTACACAGGGCATTTTTAGGGCACGGAAACTCTTCTGCATTATACTGTAACAGTGAACACATGCTACTATGCATTTATCAAAGCTCAAAGGACTACACAACACAAAGGCAAATCCTAATGCAATTTACGGACCACCTGGTGTGGTGCTGTAGGATAAACACTAGATTGCAAGGTTAGTTTGAACCTCAGGGTTGGTGGTTCAAACTTACCAGGTGCTCCTCAGAAATCCTATACAGGGTTGTTATGAGGCAGAACTGACTCGACAGCACTAACATCAACAATTCTAACAAATCTTACCACAGAATGCAAGATATTAATATTAGGAAAAATTGTACGTGTGTATAGAGGGGCAGGGTGTATTGGAGCTCTCACTAGTTTTGTGTTATTTTTCTGGAAACTTAGAACTACTCTAAAATGCCAATCAAAAACCCAGTACTATTGAGTGAATTCTGACTCAGAGCAATCCTATAGGAGACAGTAGAACTGCTCCATAGGGTTTCCGAGGCTTTCAATCTTTACAGAAGCAGACGACCTCAGTTTTCTCCCACGGACTGGCTGGTGGGTTCAAACTGTTGACTTTCCAGTTAGTAGCTCAATGCTTAACCCACTGTGTCACCAGGGCCCTAAAATAGAGTGAATTTTAAAAGGTACTGATGCAATTATCAGTGGAATGGAGCCTCTGACATGTGCATTTGATGGGTCTCGACAAACATTTTACACAACATCTTATCTCCTTCCTGCTAGGTATTGGTAATATATTTACTATCCCCACAGCATTGACTTAAACCTGGCACTTAGTATAGATCTGGATCACCTGCAGCTGAAGATAAGCAGAAAAGATGTAGGTGTAGAAGTACGCAAATTAGAAAGCTAACCGTATATCTGGGATGTTAGCAGTAAAAGCTGTATACTTGTGAGCCCTTGATTATCTGAAGGAAGTCCAGTTTTGAGTTCTCTGTGGCATCCGTTTAAGAGACTGAAAGAAAACTATAATTCCCAGGGGGAGGATTTTGCAGTCTGCTAATGCGCTGTGGATTAATGCACCAGACTGCCAAGCTGTTTGAACTGCAAGGTCGGCAGTTCAAGCTCACCAGCTGCTCCTCGGAAACCCTATGCAGGGTTGCTATGGGTCAGAACCAACTCAATGGCACTTAACAACAACAATGTGGTACTGTAGGATAAGCACTGGACCACAAGGTCGGTTTGAACCACAAGGTCAGTAGATCAAACTCCCCAGCGGCAACTCAGAAACCTTATTCATGGTCACTATGAGTCAGAACTGACTTGCAGGCACTTAGCAACAACAAATGTGTACATAATCAAGTTCTCATACACATTGCTACGTTCTACGAGTTGCTAACTGATTGAAAGGGAGGTCAGCACTCACTCTGACAGTATAGAGAGCGTTGGCCAACAGGTCCTTGATTTCGGTAAAATTACTAGGAGCCCTCTGGGAGGCCCACATCTTGGAACCACTCCTGCTGTATTCTACCTAAATGAGAAGAAAACACATTAGTAAAAGGTGGCTGAGGGATATGATTCAGCTGTAAAGAACAAATGAAGCTCTCATACCTGTCGTCACACGGATAAACCTTGAAACCATCAGGCTGAGCAAAACAAGTCAGAGGCGAAAGGACAACTACCGTGTGGTCCCACTCATGTGAAATGAGTACATTAGGCAAGTGTGTACTGAAACCAAAGTTCATTAGTGGTCCCCAAGGGCTGGGGTGAGAAGAGAGGGGAGTAATTGCTGAAGGGGTTCTGAGTTTGTGTTTGGGGGTATGTAACACTTGTAGAAAGGAATAGTGGTCGTGGCAGCACATGGCAACAGCAATACCACTGAAACAGATATAAAATGGATACAGTGGCAGACTCTGTCACCTATGTATATGTGAGGAAATCCCATTACTCGTAATTCCATTTTTCCATGAGTTTCTTAAAGTTCCCTTGTATTATACCTCAATAAAATTAAAATTAAAAAACGTAAACAAATGTCTAGCGCACATCCAATACCTTAAAAAAAAGTAGGAAGAGAGAGGGATGTAGAGGCAGGTGGATGAGTAAGAGTTCTAACAGATAGGTCATTATTTACATATCTGCATGAGTCCCATCAGTCACACAGAGTACCACTGTGCTTGGAACCCCAGAAATCTCTTCCCCTGACACACGGGGCTAACTCATAGAAGACACTTACAATGTACTCTCGGACAAGGCCACGGGCGTGGGCAGGAGGAGTCCAGTGACCCACAATCACACATTCGGCTTCACTGTAGAGCGATAGCTGCAGATTTTGAGGGGCATCTGGCACTAGAAAAGAGTCAAGTTTGGATTAAAATCCATCTTCAGTTAACTAGAAATTTCCCTGAGCTTAAAATAAGGACAAGAAGGCATCCAGAGCTGGCACTGGGTCTCAGCCACTAGAAAAGGCCATCAGCTTGGGCCTTCACACTGACACAAAACACTTCTTCTTCCAGAATGCAAAGGGGCACTGTCCACATTCACCACCCAGTTTGCCATACTGTGGTGGTGAGAACACTAGCAGTCTACTTGATAATTAACCAATGAAAACTTTATGGGTTCACAACAGCACGTTTCCTGGCTTGGTTACTCTGGACGTGGTATCAGGAGGGACAAAACGCTTGAGGAGGACATCCCAGGAAGAGAAGCAGAGGGCCAACAAGACAGTGGACGCCATCAGTGAGACGGAATGGTACAAGAGTCACTGAGATGAATTCAAACACACCAATGAACATGAGGACAATGTAAAACTGTACAATGATTCGTTCTGTTGTACATAACGTCACCATGAGTCATAGCTGAGGACAGCAATCTCTCTACTGCTCACGCATCAGATCATGGCTTGGTCTACGCTGACATCAGTTTGTGGCTCACAAGGGCTGCAGGGCAGAGTCACTTGGCTAGCTTGAAATATCATTACCCTTGAGGCTTCAATTCTGAGATCTTATTTGTCTAGGGCAATGCCCACTGACTCAATTTCTCATACAAAACAGAGAATTATGGGAATGATTACAAAAGAATATGACTATTTCCTAACATGACAAGATTTCTGCATCAAATAATGTGATCACATTCAAAGCAGATGCCTTAATGGGCTTAGTGCTGGCATGTTCAAGACACTCTGGGTCTTCTCTTGTGGCTGCCTTCAGAGCCAGGTGAAAAGTCCATGATGCTTTGTAGTCAAACTTCCTTTTCACTACAGAGAGTATTCATTCATGTTGACAACCCACAGAAGACTGTTCATCCACAACTCATGGCTGCAGGTATGGCTTCTTCTTCATGTCTGAATGTTTAATACTTAACATAATCCCTGGGCAATAGTAGGTGTTTAGCTCCTATCAATGGGATGAAAATTAAGAGTAGGAATAATTCTAAGGTCCACAGGTTCTGATGGCAGTTGTAAATAAACAGTTCACAAAATATTTCAGGCAATGGAAAAACATCACTGGAAGAATCAGACATTCGTCCAACATCAAGGACTCTGAAGTGGGGGTAGTGGACTGTCTTGATCACATAGATTTTGGTATGTTTCTTAAAAAGAGACACATTATTTCTTCTTGTTCTTATTGCTAGTGGCCATGAAGCCAGATCCAACTCATTGCCTGCTCCTATACGCTCTCCGTGAGCACTGGTGTGTGCGATTCATTGTTGCAGTCATTGCGTCAACCAATCCCATTGAGGATTGCTCTAGCCTTCACCGGACCTCCACTTTACTAAACATGATGTCCTTCTCCAGTGATCAGTCCCTCCTTGATGCAAGTTCCATTGTAAGTTGAATGAAGTCTCCAACAACATTCCGTGATTCATAGTTTTCAAAAGTGGATCACCAAGTCTTTGTACTTTGTGTCTTAGCTTGAAGCTCCACTGAAACCTGTCCACCAAGGGTGAACTCCGCTGGTGTAGGAAATACCAGTGGTATTAACTTCCCGCATCACAGAAACACACAAACCACCACCAGTACAGCAAACTGATAGACAAATGGTGGCAAATACTTCTGAGATAGGCCTAATACTTCAATGGCAGTGAGCTCCCAAGGACCAAGTACTAGGAGGTATCTAAAGAAGGAACATAGGAGGCAGGGACTACACAAGAAACAAAAAAGCACAACTGTGGAGAGAAGCTGAAATTAACCTCTTAAAACAGAAATACAGTAACTGAATAATAGAGAGAGAAGTGTTCAAAGCTCAGGCAGGAACATGAAGCTAAAAGCAAGACAAGCAAAGGCACAGGTACGTGGCGATGCTGCCCCACTGCTGAGCATCCTCTGGAAACTCTCCAAACACCACTCACTAGAGCTGGGTACAGGCCATAAATACATCATGGCACTTACATCCTTCTGGAGTCCTCAGGTTCACAAAGTCATTGGTGTTGTGCACCTTACTCAAACACTGGACCTGCACTTTAACCTGATAGGTGGTATCTGGTTTCAAGACTTTTAATATCGTGCTTGTTTTATTGCTGTGGGTCTCCAGAGTTTTCCATACGCTCTCTCCAACCACTCTAGCCAAAAGAATAAAAATATCGTCAGACAGAAGCAGCATAGGGTGACTAAGATGCACAACTCAAGTTAATAAAGAGCCAACACCAGCCATGTTGCAAAGGACTACTATGGAGCATAGCTGGTGGCCACAAGGATGTCACTGTCTTCTGCCACAGCCAAGCTGAGACCCACCTACCTGTAATAGATGTTGTAGACGCAAGAAGCAGAAGGCATTTTTTTGGGCCTCATCCAGGTCAAAGTTATGTCCCCGGAGAAATCAGCAGTCCACTGAAGATTCTGAACTTTGTATACAGTTGAATCATCTGGAGACAGAAAAGTAAAAAGTAAAAGAAAGGTATATGTTACTAACTCCAGCCTTCCTGCTTTAGGAAGAACCCGTGGTTGGTGCAAATGGTTGATGTGCTCAACTGTTCACCCAAAGGTTGGAGGTTCGCGTCAGGAGAAAGACCTGCTTTCCAAAATCAGCCACTGAAAACCCTATGGACTCACACTTCTCTAAAACACACAAGGCTGTCATGGGTCAGAAGTGATGTTCTCATGAGGCCACAGTCGTCTTTAAAAAGTCCTAGATATATGAATACAGTTGGTTTGAGACTAGTAAGCATGAGTAGAGTATATCTTTCCTAAATTTCCAATCCTATTTTTCCTTGCATTTCATCTCCTTCATAACAGAAAATGATACAGGTCAAGAACAAGGACAGAGGAGGATCCATTACTAAATAATCCCCAGACAGAAGGACACAATGCCTTCTCACCTGAGAGCTCAAGGAGTATAAGCCCACGGGCACCAACTTGAGGTGGGAAGGCCATCTGAAACAAAGCTGAAACCAGCATCCCACCATCAGAGTGAAACACTGCTGCTGGTTGCTGTCTAGTTAATTCTGACTCAAACAGACCCCAAGTGTCTGGAGTAGGACTGCACCATAGGGTTTTCAAGAAGCTGAGCACCAGACCTGTCTTTTGAGAGTGAAGCTACTTGAAGTTGGGTCAAGCCTTATATCAATTGGTGCTGCAAAACTAAGAAGAGTCCATCTCATTTTCAGATGTAGGAAAGCTAAAGGAGTCTAGGTGAGAGTCCCACCGGGGAGGTTTCGGGACAAGCCGTGGGGTAGGTGAGTGACACAGTCCAGACCAGTGACGCAGGTGGTACCCACCACTGCAGGTCCTCTCATCGCTGCCGTCAGAGCAGTCCAGAAAGCCGTCACAGCGTTCAGACAGCAAAATGCAGGTCTCGCCGTCCTCACACCTGAACTCCCTGCTCATGCAGGTCAACGTGCTGCGTGTGGCTGAAACACAAAGAATCTTCTTAAACTCATAGCGGCGGGGCAATGTTGAGACGCTCAAGGCTGGGCTGCTTTATTCGGGTTTTAGAAAAACGGTTTGGATTCTTCTAACTAGCCAGTTCCCGTTTTAGAACATGATTCTGGAGTAAGGGGTGTAGAATCGATGCTGAAACAATGATATCAATGATATTGTGTTATGTGTATTTAACTGGAATCTGCCTTAAGGAAGAGTGACAACTTCAGCATATATTGCTTAATATTGCCAAGGTTCAGCTACTACATAAAACAATTATAGCACTATTGAGTTTGTAAAGATCTCTATAGATCAGGGACCTGGAATAGTGCCTGGCTCATAGCAGGGATCTACAAATTGTAGCTATTACTTGACAATACTACTGTTTATTCTATTACTGATATTATTTTTTTGCAGCACAGAGTGACACTGATCACTGGTTTGAGCAATAATAATAGTGAGATGCCTAGTTTTTGTGGCACTTTTAATTGCATAGGTTTTTTTCCAGAGATTTTTCATACAATGAGCTAATGCAAATAAAAAGCATTGATAAAAATTATGCAACTGTATGGTTAGATTATTAACCATAACCTGATGTTCTCTCCAGTTCCGAAAGTAGATTTTGTATGAGGGGCTCTAAATAGAATCTATGACAATACAATTTCAAATGATCCTAAAAAGAGAGAAGAAGGGAATGGAAGGATATACCATGCAAATGGATAAGAAGACTCAACATTGTCAAAATGTCAGTGTTGTTGTTAAGTGCCATCGATTCCAACACATAATGACCCTGTATATAGGGTTTCCAAGGAGCAGCTGGTGACCGTGAACCACCATCACCTTTGCAGCCTGACACATTAGCCCACAGCACCACATCAGGACTCCAATACTATCTACTAATGTGATTTACAGATATAATGCAATCCCAATTCAGATTCCATCATCATTCTTAAAAGAAATAGAAAAAAATAATTACCAACTTCACATGGAAAGGCCAAGAAACCCCAGATAAAGAAAGCTCTACTATAGAAAAAGGAACCCTGGTAGCACAGTGAGTTACAAGCTGAGCTGCTAACTACAAAGCCAGCAGTTCGAATCTACCAGTTGCTCCTTGGGAGACAGATGAAGTTTTCTGCTCCAGTAAAGATTAACAGCTTCGGAAAACCTATACAGGATCGCTATGAGTCGGAACTGATTTGATGGCACACAACCACCACCAACCACAGAAGAACAAGAAAGTCTGAGGCCTCACACATACACAGTACTCAAAACAGCCTAGCACTGGTACAATGACAGATACAAAGACCAGTGGAACAGCTGATCTGACAAAGAACCAAAATCATTAAATGTGGAAGAGATAGTTTCTGGCAACAACATATCGGACAAAGGACTAATCTCTAAAATTTATAAAAAATTTCAAAACCTCAACAACGAAAAGACAAAAATTGCAATTAAAACATGGGCAGGAGGCACGAACACACAATTCACCAAAGAAGACATTCAGGTGGTCAACAAACACATGAAGAGTTGCTCCCAATCATTACCCATTTGTAGTTGTTGTTAAGCGCCATCAAGTCAGTTCTGACTCATAGTCACCCTGAGTAAGGTTTCTGAGAAGCGACTGGTGGGTTTGAACTAGTGATCTAGCAGTAAGCAGTGCAGTGTTTATCCTACAGTGCCACACCAGGACTCCACTCTTATTATTGTTAAGTGCTGTCAAGTTGGTTCCAACTCATAGTGACGCAGCAAAGAGTTTCCGAGGAGCAGCTGGTGAGTTTGAACCGTCGATCTTGTGGTTCAAACCAACCTTGCAGTCCTGTGCTTATCATAGACTACCACACAAATCAAAACAACAGTCAGATAGTATCTCATTCCGCTAAAAGCAAAGTTCAGAAAAAACAGAAAACAAAAAAATACTGACAAGTGTGTGGAGAGACTGGAATCCTCATATATTGCTGGTGGGGGTGTAGAATGGTACAACCACTATGGAAAATGGTATGGTGTTTCCTTCAAAAAGAGAAATACCATATGATTCAGCAATTTCACCATGAAGTATATATCCTACAGCAAAAAGAGCTATGACATAAACATATATATGCATGCCCGTGTTCATCACTATTCAGGTACAGCTCTAGTCACAGAAGCAAACACATGGGAACAATCTTAGTGTCCATCAGCAGATCAATGAACAAACAAACCATGGTACATATACACAATGGAACACTAAGTAACATCAAAAAATGATGACAAATCTCTGAAACACCTCAAATATGGATGAACCTGGAGGACACTGCTTGTTGCTGCTAAGTGCTGTTGAGTCGGTTCTGACTCATAGTGACTCTGTATAAGGGTTCTGAGTAGCAATTGGTGGGTTTGAACCACCACACTATGACGAAGGAAAGAGAAAAATATCAAAAGCAATAATGGCTAAAGAGATGAAAAAAGCAGGCAGAAATAATAATCAGTAAGCTAAAGAAAGTAATAGAACAAAAAGTGATGAACTGGTATGACAAAGGCTGTGGCATTCTGCTAAACAATGAGGTTTTTAAAGTTGACACAGATGAATTACACTGAAGACAAAAATTCATCTCCAAATCGTACACAACAAAACTGATTTTGAAAAATAAAAAATGATAGCAATAAGAAAGATACAAGAAGAGAGACTACATAGAAATATTAATCAAAAGAATAAAAAATATTCCTCACTATCTGAAATGGTTTGGTTTATTGACTTATTTAATTCTATGAATGGCAAATAGAAGTATCAAGCAATTTATCTGAGTCCTTTTGGGGTCTGAGTTCCAGAAAACAAGCAACAGGTGCACCAACAGAGAGAGACTCATTCCAAAAATGCATCTGCCTCTGTTTCATGTCAGATTTGGAATAACAAGGTTTTAGTAATGAGAGAGTCCTCTTCTATTTTCCTAAACTGAAAACAAGCAGATCAAAACAAAAAACAAAAGAATCACCTTTGCCTGGAACTTGAGGCAGTAGAAAGATCCACAGACACTTTTTAAAAAGACGCTATACTACATTCGAATTTCCTAACTTGCAGGCAAAGAAAGGCTCCCTGATACAGTCAAAACAAAAGCACAAGCCACTAGTCTCATGAAGGAGGTGAGAGAAGGCACTCGGTGGGACCCCTTCAGCTCTGCTGAAAAAGTCAGCATGAGGAGAAAAACGTACTCATTGTGACAATCAGTGAGTTTCAGTTCATATAAAGTACTGGGTGGTCAACACAAGCATTTTCTCAACTTAGAGCCACCATGACCTAAAGGATCTAGTGACATTTGCTATTAAAAATCCATAACTATAGCGATCATTATAAAGAACAATGCAAACGTGAAGACTGGTGAAGGCTCATTAGAGAGGTAAGTGGAGAAGATCAGGAGGAAGGACAACTGATGTTGCAAAATGCTCCTGGCGGTGTCGGAGCTTTAAACTTTCTACCAGAATGCCTTGCACTACATTACACTCCCGTGTGAATGAATGCTGTCGTTAGGTGCTGTTGAGTCTATGAATGTTGCTGTTGTTCAGTGCTGTCATGTCGGTTCTGACTCATAGTGACCCTGTATAGGGTTTCTGAGGAGCTTGAACCAACAACCTTGCAGTTTAGTGCATTAACCTGCAGTGCCACACCAGGGCTCCAAGTCTATGAATAGTCAACATTTTATCAACCCTAGCCCCCACCCCACGAAACCTGCAAATTATTATCCTTTATTCCTCCCCTCAGCTAGTAGCATCAGCATTCACTCAGCATTACCTTCAATATACTATGAGGCACATGAAATACCATCTCGCCTTGCACTGATCAAAACAACAAATGCTGGCAAGGTTGTGGGCACATTGGAATTCTAATTCACTGCTGGTGGGATTGTGAACTGGTACACCCACTATAGAAAACTATATGGTGCTCCTCCAAAAAGTTAGAAATAGAAATACTATCTTATCCAGCAATGCTACCTCCAGGTACATCTCCTAGAGACATTAAGTGTAGTGGTATGAATAGAAAATGTAGATACCCATATTCACTACGTCAGTATTTACAATAGAATAAAGATGGAAGCAAACTGAAAGCCCAACAATAAATGAATGAATACACAAAACAGTACATACATACAATGGAATACAACAGTTAATGATAATAATGAGTCCACAAAACATAACACGGATGAATCTGCAGGACACTCTGCCAAGTGAAGTCAAATACAAAAAAATAAACAACGTATGATAGAACTTGTATAAAAAGTGAAGAAGAATAGGTCTACATAGAGGAAGCAACACTCTGATTGCTACAAGGATGGAAGGGAGAGAATCACTTACTAGGTAGTAGGCACATGCTAATTCTAGCGAAGGGAAAGGCAGCTCACACTATAAGGAGAGTCAGCACAATGTGACCAAGGTAAATGAAGACACTGAAAGGTATACAAGAATAAAGAACAATTGCAGCAAATGTTGGTAGTACAGTGGCTCTGTATGATAAACACTAGACTGGTAACCACAAAGTTAGCAATTGAAGCCCACCAGCTGCTCCTTGGGAGAGAAATGAGGATTTCTGTTTCTGTAAATATTTACAGCCTGAGAAACCGTATACAAGATCACTGAGTTGGAACCTACTTGATGGCACTTAATAACAACCACATAGTAATGCTGTAACATATGAAATTCTACAACAGTAATAAGAACCAAACGTCTGTGAGTGATTCCATATATGTGTACTATATACATGGGAAGATGTAAGGAAGAACATGGACGTGCAGATATCAATACAGTCATGGGTATTTGTATATACATATCTGCATGTACTACATTTCGTAACCACTATGCTACCAGAGCTCCTTCTTAGACACATCCAAACACCTCATAGGGCTAACATATAGGGTTCAAAGGCTAAGGACCATAGTCTCGGGGGATATGTAGGTCAACTGGCACAACCATTCATAAAGTTAATGCTATACATCTGAATTTGACAAGCAGCATCTGGGGTCTTGAATGCTTGTGAGTAGCCATCTGAGATACTGTTGGTCTCTTCTCATCTGGAACAAAGGAGAGTGAAGGAAATCAAGGAGGCACACAGGACTAAATGGCCCACATGAATCAATGGCTTGAGACCAGGAAAACTTTATGGCGTCCAGCCCAGCTATCACTTCCAACCTGTCTGACCAGGGACACAACAGGTCACAGCATGTCTTAGGGCAATAGTCTTGAGGTAATCTTCTGGTCTCTATTAGCCCAGTGAGTTTGATCTTAATTACGAGTTTTGGTCTACATTTCTCTCCATTCTAACCATGACAGATGTGTTTTCTTATCTTTTGCACCTTTGTACAGGCTACTGCTTGTGTCTGAGATTTCCCACTGTGTCCCACAGCTCTCTGTTACGACTCCTCCAGGTATCATCAGCTCAGAGGCCTGTCCTCCCTCCTCTCCAGAAAGTTGGCATATCCCCTCTGAACAACTTTAGCCGTCAGGAAGAACTTCTATTATTTCCTATGGCATTGTGGAACAAATGCCATAGCTTTTTTACCCTGGCTTCGGTTCCAGAGAAATAACCCTTGAAGTAATCTGGGATTTCCAGGCCACACCAATGAATTTGTGCTGGCAAGTGGTACCTGGTCACACTAGAAAAGACTCACTTGGGAGGGTCAACGTCAACTAGTCTTAAAAGGCATGATTTAGTCTATCATGCAGGACTGGCCATTTAAAGGCCACAATATGAAGGTTCTGAAGGCTTCCTGGCTGATGAGGGGAGGGGGATATACTCTCCTGAGATATGGCAGCTCTACATTAGGGAACCTTCCCAAATCTTACCTATCCATCTCCTCCTTATGATGACCTCAATAGGCTGAGTCTTACAATAGTAAAACCAACAGCTGCAAGTGTATCTTCCACGAGTCATTCTGGTGACTTAATGAAAACCAAGGATAGTGTCCTCTTAACCTATAAGGCCTCACCTAACTCCAGGTGGCAAGGGTCAGAGAGCAAGACTGCCATGTAGACAGTTGGTGGCAGAAGTTACGGAGAAGTGGGAAAGTGAGGCTATGGCTGTTCTTCATCTTCTGGGAATTTGCTTGGTGTCAATTCCTATCCGCAAAGCTATCACTGCAAACACTATGTCCCATTTACTGACACAACTGTTTCTCTACCAGAATCTGCATCCCCAAAAACCTGATTAATGATTACCACATCACACATCATGAATAAGAATTTGCTCATGAAGTTCAAAGGCTCTGGAAGAACCCAGTTGGGAACCTGTAGAGAACAATGCTATGCACTGAGAAGAGACAACCAGCCATCGCTCTTCCCTTCCTCCCTGAGTCTCCCTGGGTTTGTCTGGTCTTGATGATGAGCCAGGGCACTGTTTAGAAATATGGATTCTGAAGGACCCCCTGCCCTATTACATCTTCTTCAGCAGATATGAGGGTAAAGTACCCAAATTTATAGTTCTTATAAGCATTCCCCATGTGATCCTTCTAAGTCACATAAATGTCTTAACTACGAAGTCAAAGGAATTAAGAGATTACTAACCCTCCCTCCTTCTAAAATGGTTAAGACTTTATAGGGTTAAATTTGAGGCTCAGTTATTCATTTGTTTGGAAGAGTTTTTTGGGTTTTTTTAAAGAGGAACAAATGAGATCTGTACAGGCATCAAAGAGGAATCCAGGTGCTTGCTGCTTCCGGTTAGGTGAGAGGTAAAAGGGATGTTGTGGCTCCCCTCCAATTTACCAGGGCAGACAGCAAGCAAGCATGAAAGGAACACTCTTATCAGCAATGAAAAGAATGGAGTTGGCTAGAACATCAGCTGTCTTTTTTGTGAGGTAGGTGACTGGGTAGAGGAGAGACCCTGTAAACCAGAGAACCCCACAATAGTACCAGTATTCTCTTCAAGAGGCACAGTGGTAGTGAGGATGGACTGGCTCTGTGTCAGCCACACCCTCTTGGTTTTGATCGGGCCACAGTGGGACTAGTCTACAGCTGAGGACAACAAAGTGCTGCCTCACCTATTTGCGGATGAGTTGCATGCCTTCAGTTCTGTGTTCTGACGTAAAGTCCATCTGCTCTCACTGCTTACCTCATGCCATCAACCTCTGTCAGCTTGCAAAAGCCAGTGTCAATTGGCATAGCATAGTCCACAAAGACTATGCTCTAGATCCTACTTCAGCGAGAAGTGACTTGGGTTTTAAACACTTGCCAGTGGCCATCTAAGATATAGCTGTTGTTCTCTCCCCATGCAGTGTTAAGAAGAGTGAAGAAAATCAAAGCTACATAGAAACAGTCCAAAGGACTAATGGACCACATGAACTTCAGTCTCAATGACCCTGAGGCCAGAAGCACCTAGATGGTGCCTGGCTACCACAACCAACTGTTTTGGTAGAGACCACAATAGAAGGATCTGGATCAAGTAGGAGAAAAATGTGGAACAAAAATCAAAATCATAGAAAAAAAAAAAGGCTAGCCTTACTGGTTGGAAAGGGTGCCCCAGAGACCACAGTCACCCTTCAAATCTGGAACTGATCTCATCCCTGTGGTTCAACTTCTAACCAAATGGTAAGGTCTCTAAGGTAATCAACCTTATGAGATCAAAAGGGCACATTCAGGAGGATGAGGCACAGAAAGAGGAATGGAAACAGACAATACAGGGAGGAAGTGGGATACATGAAGTTCTATCATGAGAACGGTGATCAGTGAGATGAAACAAAATGTGCATGAACTGTTGAATGGAAAACAGATTTGCTCTGTGAACCTTTGCTCAATTCACAATAAAATGTTTAAAAAAAAAAAAAAAAAGTCTGTGCTTGCAGGTACCAGGATCTTTACCTTGTTAAGTCTGAAAGAGGATGCCTGTATCCTTTCACAGTTAACTCAGATGATCTTGTCATTATCCTCCACGAGTTTTAAGAGTGGGTATCCTATCTCACCAATTACAGCCCTATGCCCGACAGGTGCGGACTAAATACCTCTGGAAAAGCCACGCACATACATAAGGTATGGTCTCACTCACAGGTGTTTTATGACACATTTACCACAAAACCTATTTGAGGCATTTTTCTCATTCAGAGAGCATTTTAACTAAAACTGTTCCTGGTATTTAATAGCCACACAATCTCTTACAAAGAATGTGACTATGGCAGTGACAAGGGTCCAGGTGAGAAAATCCCAATGTAAGATTTTAGTGAAAGCATGGTTATACATCAATGTATAGAGTCCCGTGCCTGGGTGTACTGGTCGGGAAATGAAGCACCCTCAAGGAGAAATCCTACTGTCTGAAGTGCACCCTGGGGGTGACCTGCTCTCTCACTACTCACGGCAATTGGCCTCATCTTGGCCATCCTGACAATCCCGGTGACCGTCGCAGCGTTTCCAGTTGGGGATGCACTTCTTTGGTTGCCGGCACTCGAACTCAAATCGGTCACATCGCCCAAGCTGAGTGGTACTAGAAGGGGCGGTTACATTTCCTAGAAAAACGAACACACAAGACTTTAACTTTTTAGCATTAATAATGCTAGTTAGCAACAGCAACCAGTTCAATATTCAAGTGGGTGAATGAAGCGCTTTAGGGTCAGTTGTTCAAACTCATCAGCCGCTCCTTGGAAACCCTATACAGGGTCGCTATGGGTCAGAACCAATTAGACAGCACTTAACAACAACAGGGATTACAATGGGAATGGGGACCTAAGGGCAAACATGAGTGCTGGATACAGACACTGATTGGAGGCCACATCTAATTCTGTCCTCTCACAGAACCTCACTAAAGCCACAGGTAAGAGGCTGCTTTTAAAGACAGACTCACAAGGATGGGGAAAACAGGGAAAGAGACAAAAGTAACACAACTTTGGAAGCTGTGAAGCAGACAGATGAGTGTAAGTGACTAGAGACCAGAGCAGGCTGCTGGGGGAGAGAGTTAAGAACAAAATGCTCTACACAACACAATCCTGAAGGAGCTGCAGATGTTTAAGAAGCAGTTAAGATTCCCCACATCCTCTTTCCCTCCAAATACTGCAAGACAGCTGTCCCGCCATCACTCCAGTAGGAGACTGGACAACTATTACTTGGAGAGTTTCAAAACAAAGGTTTTCTTGACCAGGCACAGTTAAGAGCAAGAAAACAGTAATAAAATAAATAAGTAAATCCACAGAATGTGAAGATGCCAGCCTTCTTTCTCAAGAACCCTAGCAGGGAGACCTTTAGCTCCAAGACAGGGGATTTTAAGAATCTTCTCTGGGGAAACTGAGCAGCCTCAGAGACAAGCCCTAAAGCTACCTACACTTCAAGAGTCGCCCAACAAACACTCCCTTGCAATGAAACTCAAAGCTGATAGATAACTTCTTCCCATGTGTTCAAAATTTCTTCCCATTGTTTTAGTCCCCCAGCCTTAAACCTAAGCAGCATTCTCTGAAAGAACTTGTAATATGAAAGACAGAGACCAAAACAGACCTTTTTAAAAAGGCAATTCAGAATAGAAATTTTGCATGGAGAAAATAAGCACAACTTTTATGCTCAGAAAGTGAGGAGAGTGTAGCATTGGCCCTTGAACAACATGGGTTTGAACTGTGCAGGCCCACTTCCAGGCAGGTGCTTTTCCCAGTGCTTTGCAGTGAATTCAAATGTTGCCAGTACCGGCTTACAATGATGCCTTTTGCCAATAAGCATCTTTGTGTGAGTGGTCCCTCTGTCCAGGTCGGGGGCAGAGGGTGATGGGCAGCAGTTACTACACAGATGAACTGCTCAGGAGGAAATGTTCGGCTCACACGCTGCTTTAAGAGGATACTCGTAATTCTTGAAGTAATTTCAATTGTTGTTGTTGTTGTTGTTAAGTGCCATGGAATCAGTTCAACTCTCATAGCAACCCTGAACAGGGTTTCCTAGGCTGTAAATCTTTACGGGAGCAGAAAGCCTCATCTTTCTCCCATGGAACAGCTGGTAGTTTCGAATTGCGGACTGTGGGATATGCAGCCAGATTCATAATCACTAGGCTACCAGAGCTCCTTTAATTTCAATAGCACCAGGAAAAAAATAATCTCATATGAGTGTCCATAAAGTTTCAACTGTGTCTGTTGTTCAAGGGTCAACTGAAAATTAGTCACTGAGGTTCGACTGTGTGGAAGGTCAGTGCCCCTAACCCCTGCATTGTCCAAGGGTCAGGTCTATATATTTACCCATTAAAAGGGATGGTTGTTGTTAAGTGCTATCGAGTCAGTTCTGATCCATACTGACCCTGTATAGGGTTTCCGAGGAGCGGCTGGGGAGCTTGAACAGCTGACCTCGTAGTTTAAACCGACTTTGCAGTCCAGCAAGATTAACCCACAGCCCCACACCAGGAAGATCATTCAGAGTACCAAGAAAAAGAAACCCTACTAACAGAAATGAAACAGTCAATAAGAGAGTTTGAAGAAAAAGTTTAGTAACTAAAAGAAATAATACAATAAAATAAAAAGTAAAAAGACAACACTGGAGATCCGATATATGAATGACAAAGGTAACAAAAAGAGAAAATGGAGAAAAAAAAAAACACCACTGAAGTAATTTTTTTTTTCTTCCACTGATCTTGTGGTTCAAATGGCTTTGTAGTCCAGAGCATTAGCCCACAGCACCACACCAGGACTCCAGTCAGGTGGGTGTGTTTTAGTAACTGTGATTTTTTTAAAAAAGTTTTATTGTGAATTATGTAACTGTTTACATGGGAGAACATTAGCTTTACATTCATCCTATTATATATTGTTTCACTGCCACGGTTACAATCCCCTCCATCCATCATCAACCAACCAAAGGGTGTACCCTGCAAGCCTGCCCCTACTCCCCAGTCCTCAGCACACAGTCTCTCTCCCTCTCTGGGTCTAAAGTCCCCAGACGCTCCATCTGTCTCCAACTCTGGTGTCACTGTTTCTCTGGGTAGGGTCCTGCTCTCCGCTCTTCTCCCTTGATGGTCCCAGGGACCTCCGCTCCTAGATTATAAAGTCAATCACTCCCCTCCTTTTGCTATAAAACATCTATCTTTAGATTTCCAACCCTCACAATCAGTTCTGACAACAATTATTCACTATTGTATCACAAGAGACCTATCCGCATCTCATTTCATCAGTCCTGCCCAGATAGACTGGATACTACTCAGTGGAGATTCTATCTTCCTCCACATTCTCTGGATCTAGGCTCCCTCTTGAAAGCTTATAAGCCAGTCACTTCTTGCCTTTGTAGCCTCCCCGCCCTCCATTTTGGGCAGCCAATGTCCAAGTTGCCCATCCCTGTCTACTCTGTGTATGGAGGGGGTGGGAATGATCCTTGCTGTAAGGATTTGTTCTATCTTTTGAGTTACTGCATCCATAGGTGTAGGTCCAGTTCATCAAATTGTACCAGATTACTCTTTTTTCCCTCTTCTTTCTTCTTTTGGTTGAGCTTTGATCATCCAGTCATTGAAGCCAGGTCAAGTGGGTATTATCTGCAAGTGTGGGTGTTCTTATGCATGTGCCCTCTCTTTTTATCACCTGGACGTTTCACTCTCCACTTTAGTCCTCTGTGACTATGTCACTGACTCTGGGACCATGAGTCCCCAGGTCTTGCCACAATGCTGGCCAACCAGGTCGCCACCCGGATTCACAGGAGTCTATTGAACATTGTAGGGCTTAGCTCGCTGAAGTAATTTTTAAGAAGTGTCTAGAACCAAAGTACATGAGTTTCCAGAATAAAAGTTTATGGGTGTCATCTGATGGAAACAGAGCCACACCAAAGACCATTGTTGTAAAATCTCAAAACAATGGATTCAAAGGGAAGATTCCATAAGCTTCCAGAGATTTAAAAAAAATACAGAAGATCAAAATCAAACTGGCTTTAGATTGCTCAAGATCTTCTTGAAGACAGTGGAGCAATGCCTTCAAACTTCTGAAGGAAGATCATATATATCCTAGAGTTCTGAAACCCAGCCAAAGTATCAGTCGAGTCTAAAGACAAAATAAAAAGCACTTTCAAGACAAGCAAGATCTCCAAAATGAAACTGCCATGAAAATGTCTTCTATTAAAACATGGGGTTAGACTGAAAAAGAGGAAACCTTGGGATGCAGAAAACAGACACACCAACACAAGAGGGAGGTAAAACAGGTCCTTCAGAGGGTGGTGACACAGTGTCCCAGAGGACAAGTGTGCATCAGGCACAGAGAGCAGCAACTCCAAACCAGAGCAACAAAGGTCAAGAGTCGAACAGTAAGACACAGGACACAAGAAACGGAGCATTGAAATCAGAAGAAGGGCAAAGAGAATTCCCAGGTCAGTGCAAGGCCCAGATTCTGGCCACCCAGGCAGCAGGCCAAGAGGACAGCTAGTCCAGAGAGAAGAATCCAAGAGAAAAACTAGAACTGATGAATCGCCCATTGGCTGTGACCTTGTGGAAAATTACATTGCTAATTTTTTTCCATCTTTCAACAGCTTCTCAATCAGTGCAAAATAGAGCAAGCAAAACAAAGACGAAACAATTACTAACTTTAGGAGACTCTGTATATTCAGTCTTTTTATGGGCTTTTCAAAGGGGCCTCCCCCAAACCACCAAACAGAATCATTGTGCTGAAATGTAAGACAGCTGGAGAAGAATGGTAAGAAATGCGGCTAGAAAGCTAGGCCAAGACAAACCCTGGCACTTACTCAGGCCTACAGGGGAGGCATGAGGGGGTACAAATGCTACGGAGGATATGACCATGAAGCAACATGTGGCTTTATTAGAAGACAAATTAAAAAGGGAAGACAGATGAGGCAGAGCCAACATTGAAGAAATGTTTATACTGAACTAGAGACAACATCAAGTTTAACTCATACCAACAACGTACATCAAAGGGAAAGCCCCCAAACTGAATGGAATTGGCAAAAGGGGATTTGCTTTGTCAGAACTGTTACTTGGGTTAGTCAAAATTTAGTAGAGTCTGTAAATGTCCTGGTGAGAATTGCTATACAATAATACAATTTGAGAGAAAGACAATCAAGTTACCAAATGAATAGATATGGACTTGGGTACAAAAAAATTAGAGACACATATCTTCCCTCCCCCCACCCCAAGCAATTCATTTTAACTTGAGTCCTGGTGTGGCTCTGTGGGTTAAAGTGCTGGACTGCAAAGTCTCTTTGAATTGCAAGGTCGGCGGTTCAAACTTACCAGCTGCTCCTAGGAAATCCTATACAGGGTCGCTATGGGTTGGAAACAACTGGACGGCACTTAGTAACAACTATTTCCCTATTACTGTAGTAGGAACAGTTAAGGACTGAAAAGTGGTAAGCAATCTGATCCCAAAACACGAGTTCCACACAATTACTATGAGGGGGAAAAAAAAAAAAGTATATATATATATACATACACACACACACACACACACACACACACACACACAGTAAGTAGGACTTTGTTGTTGTTGTTGTTGTTGTTAAGTGCCATCGAGTCGGGTCCGACCCATAGCGACCCTGTACAGGGTTTCCGAGGGTGTAAATCTTTACGGGAGTAGAAAGCCTCCTCTTTCTCCCGCGGAGCGGCTGGTAGTTTCGAACCGCTGACCTTAAGGTTCGCAGCCCGATTCGTAACCACTACGCTACCTGGCAAATTGGAGACTCTAGATGGTATGAATGAAAAAAGTTGACGTTTCTAGCCTACCCAGAGGCACTTCCAAAGAAAGGTCAGAGGATCTGTTTCTGAAAACCAGCCACTGAAAACCCTATGGAGCGCACAGTTGTGCTCTGACGAGCACAGAGTTGCTATAAGTTGCAACTGCCTCAACAGCCACTGATTTTTATACAGTAGACTGTAGTTAACGATCAAAAGAGCAATGGGTAAGTTACATGAGACCTGAAACACATCACCATTACTTATAGGAGTTGTGAGAAACTCCAAAGAGTAGTGTCACCCTAACTCGTTTAAGGCAGGGATTTCAAACTTTAGTCCATTTAGGAATTACATGGGGAGCTCCTAAGTTCCACTCAGAAATCCTGATTCTCTATTTCTGAGAAATACCCAAAATGAAATATTGATGGTACGTCAAGGCTCTTGTACCTGCAAAACCCATGCTTCTGTTTGGCCTGGCGGGTAGTGGATTCCAGAAGAGGGAGAGCGGGAAAGGAAGGTCAAAGAGACAAGTTTCCTATAAAGAAGGCAGAAGCCCTGCTGGAGCAGTTGTTGTTGTTGTTGTTAAGTGCCATCAAGTCGGGTCCGACCCATAGCAACCCTGTACAGGGTTTCCGAGCTGGAGCAGTAGAGGCAGAAAAGGAGCAGTCTGTCCACAGTGGACAAGGAGCCCAGTGTGACAAGGAGTTCACACGGAGCCTTGGAAATAGAAATTAAGGGTCCAGATTTGTTCTTCTGGACAAGAGGAAATCATGGATGATTTTTATACAGGGATGGTATTAATCCTTAAAAAGGAAAAACGTTCCTAGAAGCTTGCTAGAAAAAGAACTATATAGGGCATGGTACAAAACTGTCCATTCTGTCTAGGAAGCAACACAGCATCCTGGCCTCTGTGATTAAGGCATTAACTGAATGGGAGCTCCAGGTCTATCCAGGCCTCCAGCGGTTCCTGAACAGACCAGACCTTCAACTGCTTCTCTCTGTTCAGTCACTAGATGGCAGCGCTTACCCTTCTTTTAGAGGATCCAGCAGACAATGCCTAAGCATGAAGATTGGACCCTGTTCTCCTGAGACTTTAAAACACACAAAAACCTCCCCATAATTCCAACTGCAATTTCCTGCCAGGGAGGAATCAAAGGTGGTCCAATTGCAGCCAGGGTGAAAAGCAGGGTGAGTCGTCTTTTTTTTTTACAGGAAATCCGGAGGGCCATTACAGAACATGAGACATTCCAGTTGTGACTTCCCACACAGCTGGGATCCAGGGAGAGGTCCCTGCAGTCTCCCTGCTCTGCAGGTGCTGTTTGTGGGAAGCAGACTGGATGTAGAGCACAAAGCTCCAATGCTCCTTCTTGAACTGAACCACAGCAGCAGGTGCCCTGGAGCAGGGTGGACCAGGACTCACCAGGAGAGGGGCAGGCTTCCTCATCAGACCCGTCAGCACAATCACGGTACCCGTCACACACCCAGCTGTCCATCACGCAGGTCCCACTGCTACAGCGGTAGTAATTGGGCAGACATGTGGAGGATCCAGGAGTTGGGGATGGAAGCATATGTGAATCTGAGAAAATGTAAACCAAGGAAACACAAACACAAAGTGTTACAAGCAGATTAATCTAAGACAAAAACATAATCCAATCTAGGACAGATATTTCTGCTTTTGCTGCACCTGCCAAGGGTTAAAGCATTAAAAAGCAAAGGTAACAGCTTGAGAACTAAGGTTTGCCTGACCCAAGTCATGGTGTTGAGCTTCATATGCATGTGAAAGTTAGGCAATAAATAAGGAAGACTAAATAAGAAGCAATGTCTGAATTACGGTGTTGATGAAGAATATTGAACTGCAATGTCTGAATTACGGTGTTGATGAAGAATATTGAATACACCATCGACTGCCAGAAGAATGATCAAATCTCCTTCGAAGAAGTACAGCTGGAATGCACCTTAGAAGCAAGGACGGTGAAACATCAAGTCACATATTCTGGGCATGTGTAACAGGAGGGACCAGCTCCTAAATAACGACATCATGCTTGGTAAAGTGGATGGTCATTGAAAAAGAGGAAGCTCCTCAGTGAGATAAATTAACATAGTGGCTGCAACAATGACTTAAACATCGGAATGATTTTAAGAATGGCTGAGGACCGAGCAGTGTTTCATTCTGTTGTGCACAGGGTCACTAAGAGTCAGAACCAACTTAATGGCACCTAATAACAACAGTAACAACAAACCAAACGGGGCAAGGTTCAGGCATTTCTGCACAGAGCCCACCTAAAACTCATTATCCTGGGGCTGCAGACTAAACGGCCCTCATTTCCCTTGCCTATATAATACGTGATCTGAGCTGACATTAAGGTAAGTTTGTTTTTGCAGGGGCTCATGCAGGCCGATGATAGAAGGAACAGGTGACTTAAAGTCACAGGGGGACTGGGACACTTTCTGATGAGGCTAAACCTTTACTCTGGTTAATTCAATTGCAGCTACCCTAAGACCTGACATCGAGATGAGAATACGGAAAAAAAAAAAGGCGCAAGCATGATTCCTCACCAGGTCTTCTCAGACGTACCCCTGCACACCCATCTCCTGAAGACCTTATTGCAATGCAGATTCTGACTTAGGAGACCTGGGGACAGGCCGAGCTGCTACACTGCCTATCAGTTTCCTGGAGACAGGGCACTGCTGGTGTGTGAGTAGCTAGTTTTTGGAGGCAGCTCTCACTGTGCCCTGCACAGGCCTGCATATTGGATCATTCTAGTTTGAAGATATATATATACATATACACACACACACACACACACACACACACACACGGAGCCCTGGTTTGGTGCTGTGGGTTAATGTGCTGGACTGCAAAGTTGGTTTGAACTGCAAGGTTGGTGGTTCAAACTCAGCAGCCTTAGAAACCCTATTCTCAACTCAACGACACTTAACAACATATACATGTATGTTTGTATATATGCATGTCTATGTGTATATGTTAATAGGTATCCATTAAGCCCTTTCCCTACAAAAAGTTGCTGCTGTTAGTTGCTATGAGTCAGTTCCGACTCGTTGTTGTTAAGTGCCATCAAGTTGGTTCCAACTCATAGGGATCCTGTGAGTTTCCAAAATACAGCTGGTGGGTTTGAACCGTCAACCTTACAGTTAGCAGTTCAGTCCTTATCCTACAGCGCCACACCAGGACTATTACAATAGGGAAACAGGAGAAATTAATCACACTGACTTATAAAATGGGAGATTACAAAAGAACTTGAGAGTTACTTGCATGAAAAATTAGTAAGCTAGGCACTGAACACTAGGGTTTTGAATCGGTTCCAAAAAATCAGTTGATTTGTCTTTCTACTCAAGACATATGGAACCAGAATCTAGTTTAAGAAGATCTCCAGGTGATTCTAATAGATCCCTAGGTGATTCTGGGGACTCTGATAAACTGTAGATTCGGATCCAGTATATATCTGAGGTGGTAAGGCCAATCCTTAGCAGATCAAATTGGAATGAATTGGTGCAAAGACCTATGAAAAGCAAAATGAACTGTGGTCCAGACAGGATGAAAGCCACCCGCAAGCCTCCTACCTCCACAGTCCTTCTCATCAGACCAGTCCCCACAATCGTTTTCCCGGTCGCATTTCCACCTGTTAGGGATGCAGTGGCCGTTCTCACACTGGAACTGGAAGTAGCGGGAACAGTTGGGGGCTTCTGTGGGGTTTTCTGAGGAAATCAAAAGTACCAGTTATTTTGCCGGCACAATGTGATCACGAACCTCCAACTACATACAGCCCCGGCTTCACCAGAACTCCAGGGCAACCTGCCCTTCTCTAACAGAGGACGATAATCAACTTCCTAGACCCACAGGGACACAAAAGCTACACCTACAAACACAATGATACCCTTTCTTCTGAGATACCAATGCATGCTTCTCGGAACCCAACTTCTATCTCTGTAAACTGCTTGAGTTTAAAGTTGACACTTCCCAAAGATACAAGTTGGTAACCTGAGGGGGACAGAAACTCTCTTACACATTGTGGCATGTGTCAGCTTTAGGGGAATAAAAAGCTTACTCTGAAATTTATACTTCAACTTCTTACCTACAAATAACCCTTACGTAGGCAAGCACTCTTCACTTATCAATACAGTTGGGTTCAAAGAGCAGGTTGGTGTGTGAAGATCAGTCTTATGTGACAATGAAGGGTGACCACATCAGATCACAAAACATGTGGAGGATGACTACATCATTACAGAACTGCCAAACCACTGAGAATCATGGTCAGCCATGATGACACATAACCATCACCATCATAGCCAGGCTTACTTTCCTCTTGTCATCGTTAATACGCCAAGCTGTCACATAGATATTTCTACCTTTGTTATAAATGCAATACCAAAACAGCGAGAAGTAGGTGTAATGTGATCTGCTCCATTGGGGTAAGAAAAGAAAATGGAATAACTATTTTCCTCACACCTACTGTGTGTCAGGTTCCACCTTCAAGATTTCACTTCACATGTGAAGATTCAAGAATTGGCAGTAACTACTAGGATCAGTGCTGGACTATGAACAAGGTCAACAGCTCAAACACATCAATTACTCCTTGGAAACCCTTTACAGGGTGGCTATGAACTACTCCGGCTAAGGAGGAGAATCTGGGTGGTGTGAATGGTTAAGCACGTGACTGCTAACTGAGAGGTTGGAGGTTCAAGTCTACCCAGACACACCTCAGAAGTAAAACTAATGATCTACTGAAAAAGGAACCACTGGAAGACTCATGGAGCATCGCTCTATTTTGACACACACAGGGAGCTGCCATTGAGTGGCAGTTGGCTTGAAGACAACTAGAATGGTGTTAGCATGGTGGTAACTTGGAGACTAGGGATGAGCAGGATACGGATTTGGAATCTCCTTACCGCAGTTGGCTTCATCTGAGTAATCACCACAGTCATCCATCCCATCGCATTTCCAAATCACACTGATGCACACGCCATTCTGACACTGGAAACTCAACGCATCACAATTCTTGTGGAACTCAGGGCCCGGAGCTAAATGAGGAACAAATATCCACCCCACCCAGATCAGTTTTGTACTGAACAGATCAAAATAGGGATGCTGCTCAGAATCAAGAAAGAGCAAGGGTCTTCTCCCAAAAGATTGTTCTAGATGAAGGGTTTCTTGAAAGCAAATGTCAAATTTAATCTTAACAGAGCACACATTTTACAAATAGTTATCAAGTACCTACTCTATACAGGGTCCTGTGCAAGGACTGGGACTAGAGTACGAGCAAAACAACAAATGCCTCTGCTCTTGTGAGGCTGATACTATGTGTGTCTGTGTGTGTGTCAGTGGGGGCGTGGAGGGACAGGGATAGAGATACGTCCTATAAGACCTCTAAAGTGAGCTAAAGCAGGTAAAGGGTGATGGAAGGGTGCTATAACACCAGCATTAATCTCCAAGCAAGATCTTGGCCATTCTTCACCCTCCCCTTTACTCGGGTCAAGACCAGAGGGCGAGTAGAGAGGCTAACCCTCTTGGAATACCGATGAACCTAAGTCCGTTTCCCTGCCAGGCACACTTACAGCATCCCGCAAATGTGGAATCCTCGTCCGACCCATCGAGGCACTGGATGATGCCATCACAGACCATGGAGTGGAAGAGGCACTGCAGGCGATTCTTACACATAAAGTCCATGAAGCGTGTGCAGAGGAGGCCTGGAAAGGTCTCTGTGGGGAGAGGCAGCCATGAGCACTCAGGATTAGCTGGGTAGTGTGCATATGAACACTGGAGCAGATCTGCGTTGCACGGGGAAACATCAGCAACTACCCTCATTTACTGCGCACTTGACGGGCCAAGTCCTAAAGTACACTGGCAAACCTTCAAGACAGCATATGTTTTCAAGATAAGATAACAAAGGTTTGTCAGCATTCACTAATATACCAAGGGCGTACAGTTGGTTGGTTTAGGGGTGAGGGTCAGGGGAGGCAAACGGGAATCCAGAGCTGTCTGGCATCAAGAGTTCATGATCTTACATCACTACTAAGCCTGCAATACTGACTTCATAACACAGGGGGGCTAGCTAACTCTTTTTTATTTGTTTTTAAATAAAAGGCAAAGAGTAAACAGCTTAGCTTTTGCATCCCATCCACTTTGTCTCTACTCAACTCTGTCTTTAAGAATGAATGCAGCTATAGACAACATGGAAACAAATGAGCATACTGAGCGGCAATAATATATTGTTTACAAAAACCAGGCTTTGGAACCAATTCATACTGATTTGATCACTTACTAGGAATCTGTCATTTCTATGCCAAATTACTGAATCAGAATCTACATTCTAATAAGATACCTAGGTAAGTCTTATGATGTATACAAAAGAATCACCAGGTTCCAAGTCCTGACAGGAATAGGCTACTAGCCAGATTTAGTACAGAGGGCAGAATTTTCTGACTCTTGCACAAATACATAGATTTTTAACCTGGATTATATATTATAATCACCTGGAACATTGAAAAAAAAAAAGAAAAAAACTCCAATGTCTAGGAAACCCTTCAGATTGATTAAATCAGAGTCTGTGGTGGGGTGAGGAGATCCAGGAAACTGTAGCTTTCACGGCCCACCAAGTGATTCAAATTTACAAAGTTCACTACTGACCCAAGACAATTTTCCAGGTCTATTTACACCCTCGGAAACCCTGTACACTGGCAAACCTTTGTTATACACTGGTCGCTATGGGTTGGAACCGACTCGACGGCACTTAACAACAACAACAATCAAAAACTAGGGGTAAAAAAGGGTCAGCTGGTTTAAAAATATTGCCTGAATTAAAAGCAGCAACATTAATAAAACCAATGAAAGGAGGAAATGTGTGTAATTCAAAACAATGACTTAAGACACAGAACATGTAGTAAATAAACATTGTTGTTGTTGTTAGGTGTTGTCGAGTTGCTTCTGACTCACACCGACCTATGCACGACAGAGTGAAAACACTGCTCGGTCCTGTTAAGCTTGAGCCCATTGCTGCTGATACTCTGCCAATCCAACTCACTGGGGTCTTCCTCTTCTTTACTGACCCTCTACTTAACCTAACATGATGTCTTTCACAAAAGACTAGTCCCTTCTGATAATACGTCAAAAGTATGACAAATGAACTCTTGCCATTCTGGCTTCAAAGCAGCATTCTGGCTGTACTTCTTCCAGCACAGATTGGTTTGATCTCCTGGCAGTCCATAGTACATTTAATATTCTTCTCCAACACCATAACTCAAATGCATCAAATCTTCTATGGTCTTCCTTTGTCAAAGTCCAACTTTCACACGCACATGAAGCTACTGAAAATACCATTCTAGTACTCAAACTGACATCTCTACTCTTGAACACTTTAAAGAGGTTTTGTACAGCAGAATCGTCTAATGCAATATGTCAATATACCGAATGATTTCTCGACTGCTGCTTCCATGAATGTTAACAGTGGGTCTAAGCAAAATAAAATCTTTGGCAACTTCAATCTTTTCTCCATTGATCACGATGTTATTTATTGCTCCAGTGGTGAGGATTTTTGCTTTCTTTACACTGAGGTGCAAACTATACTGGAGGCTATGGTCTTTGTTCTTTATCACTAAGTATTTAAATCCTCTTCACTCTCAGCAATCAAGGATGTAGCATCTTCATTGAATAAGATGTTTTAATGAGTCTTCCTCCAATTCTAATGCCAAGTTCTTCTTCATACAGTCCAGCTTCTCAGATTATGTGTTCAGCATATAGACTGAATAAGTAGGGTAAAAGAATACAATCCTGGTGAACAGCTTTCCTAATGTTAAACCATTTAACATTCCTTTGTTCTGTCCAAAAGACAGTCTCTTGGCCTATGTACATACAGATTCCTTGTGAGCACAATTAAGTGTTCCAGAATACTTATTCTCCGCAATATTGTCCATAGCTTACCCACCATGACATCCTTCTCCAGCGACTGTTCCCTCCTGACAATATGTGCAAAGTATGAGAGACGAAGTTTAGCCAGCCTGGCCTCCAAGGAGCACTCTGGCTGCTCTTCTTCCAAAACAGATCTATTGGTTCTTTCGGCAGTCCATGGCACTTTTAGTATTCTCCTCCAACACCACAATTCAAAGGCATCAATTCTTCTACGATCTTCCTCATTCACTGTCCAGCTTTCACATCCATTATGAGGTTATTGAAAATACCATGGCTTGGGTCAGGTGCACCTTACTCCTCAAGGTGACATCTTTGCTCTTCAACACTTAAAAAAGTTCCTGTGCAACAGATTTGCCTAATGCAATACATCATCTGATCTATTGACTGCTGCTTCCGTGAATGTTGATAGTTGATCAAAGAAGAATGAAGTCCTTGACAACTTCAATCTTTTCTCCGTTGATAAGAATGTTGTTTATTGGTCCAGTGGTGAGGATTTTTATTTTCTTGACATTGGGAGAACATTAGCTTTTATTGTATCGTATATCATTTCATTGCCATGATCACAATCCCCTCCATGCATCATCAACCAACCAAAGGGTATATACCCTGCAAGCCTGACCCCCATTGTTAGCACGCAGTTCCATAGTCTGCTCCTGGCCTTTTTTTGGCTGATGATATGGGGGTTTTCCACTGTCTCTGCCCACAGATTTAGTCAATTTAATTTCTGTGTATTCCATCTGGTGAGGTCCATGTGTATAGTCATCGCTTATGCTGTTTAAAAAAGGTATATGAAATGAACAAATCATTGGTTTTGCCGAATTCTATCATGAGATCTCTAGGATCATTGCTATCACCAAGGCCATATTTCCAACCTTTGTATTTGAATCACCAATAATTATCAATTCATCTTGGTTGCAGATATGCTCAATTTCAGACTGAAGAAGTTGATAGAATTCTTCAATTTCATCACTGGCTTTAGGGGTTGCTAGGTAAATTTGAATACTAGTTATATTAACTAGTCTTCCCTGTTGTTGTTGTTAAGTGCCATCAAGTCGGTTCCGACCCTGTATAGGGTTTCCGAGGAGCAGCTGGTGAGCATGAACCATCAACCTTGCAGGTCCAACAGCTTTGCAGGTCTGGCACATTAAACCACAGAGCCACACCAGGTCTTCACTGTAAGCATATGGGTATTATCCTATCACAGACAGCATTATGCTTGAAGACAGATTGTGAAATGTTCTTTTTGAGGATGAATGTGATGCCATTCCTCTTCAATTTGTCATTCCCAGCATACTAAACCATGTGATTGCCAGATTCAAAATGGTCAATACCTGTCCATTTCAGCTCATTAATGCCTAGGATGTTGATGTTTATGTGTTCCATTTTTATTTGACAAGTTCCCATTTTCCTAGATTCATACTTCGTACATTCCATGTTCCAATTATTGATTGTTCACAGCTATTTCTCATTTTGAATTGTGGCCTATGAGCAAATGAAGGTTCTAACAGTTTTACTCCATTGGTATTATCATGGTTAACTCTACTCTGAGGAGATAGCTCTTCTCCAGTCATATTTTAATCGCCTTCCAACCTGAGGGGCTTATCTTTCAGCACTATATCTGACAGTGTTCTGGTGCTCTTCATCATGTTTCAATATTCAATATTCTGGTGCTGACAGTGTTCCACTGTTATTTATAAGGTTTTCAGCAACTAAACATTCAGATATAGTCTGATTCGCCTTCTTCCTAGTCTGTCCTAGTCTGAAAACTCAGCTGAAACCTGTCCACGTATGGTGGCCCTGCTGGCATTTAAAATACCAGAGGCAGAGCTTCCAGAATCACAGCAACACGCAAGTAACCATAGTATGACACACACTACAAAGACTGGTGGAACTAAACACCAAATGAACACATTCCACAATGATGTCACCCTGTCCTCTGCCTTCTCCCATTTATACAAACCATGTCTGCCATGATCAGCCTCTCAGAATTCTGGCCAAGCACCCAGGGGTCAATGTGCCTAAAAGCTGGCCACAAGCATGTATTGAGGAAGTGAAAGGACTCAACTCAATATATGTGGGGTCCTTGCTGGGGAGGTAGGGGAACTCACCACAATGCTGCTCATCGGAGCCATCTGAGCAGTCATGGAGACCATTACAATGCTTGCTGGATGGGATGCAAACGCCATTCGAGCAACGGAACCCATTACACTTCTTCTCTAAAATTCAATGACAGAGAAGATATCAAGAGAATGTGACACCAGTAACCAATGCCACTGGGCAGGATGTGTATAAACTGGAGACTGGAAACCAAAAAAAGGCAATAAAATTTCAAAAAAGAAATAAAGAACAGAGAAAAACAACAATGAGACAGGCAGGCATGCACAAACAAAGCTGGTGGGGTTGTATAAATGCAGACTACCCCTCAGCAAGGCAATCTGGCACCAGCTACCCAAGTGACAAATGTATATGTAGTTTGACCCAGCAATTCCACTTCTGGCAATGTACCTTGCTTACATTAGTAAAACAATGTATATGTACAAAGCTATTCATTGTAATACTGTTTGTAACAGATTGGAAACTACCTACATGCCCATTAATAGAGAACTATTTAAAGAGTCATTGTACATTGAATGCTATAGACACTAAAAAATGTTTCTATGTAAAAAAGATGACCTAGATATCTAGTTATATGAATAAAACAAGGTGAAGAACAACACGCACATTATACTACTATCTGTGGAAAATGGGAGAACATAGAGCATATAGAAATGTGTTTCTTTATCCATAAAAATGTGGGAGGACACACAACTATGGTTTGATGCAAGTAAGGGTGGGAACTAGCAGCTAAGGAGAACACTTTTTTTACTGTATACCTTTTTCTGCTACTTCTGTTCTAAACCATGTGAATGCATTACCCTTTTTTATTTTTTAAGTACATTTTTTTTTTTTAAAGAGAAGAAAAGTTTCAGTGGATGTAAAAAGGAGTACATGAATCCTGAGTAATGGAAACCAGCACTGATTTTATAAAGTCCTTTTACTCACATCACTGGGACTGAAGTTTTGCAACTAGGTCCTGGGGAAATGAAACCAGAACCAAGTTTAACTTGAAGCTTATCCAAGAGTCTTAGCACTAGGTCATCTTTCCTGCTGAGCAGTGTTACAACCAGACATTAAGCTTTGAAATCAGTCCTTACTGGGCATCTGTAAGCCTTGGTAAACCCAGCTCTTGGTAGAACAGCTTTATGGGAACTAGGTATAAAGTCACCAGTGTTTTAACCTTGTCATCAGTCATTGTTTCGAAGCAATTAGTCAAAGGGCCCACAACCAGAAAGAGAAGTAGCAAATGCGAGTCATTACTTAGGGAAAGGAGCCTGCAGGTGATACAAATGGCTGCTGCATTCGTTTGCTGAGCAAAAGGTGAGAGAGAGCCAGCTGGTGGTGTCTGGAAAGGTCTGGTGATCTATTTCCACAAAGGAGGTGCTGAAAACCCCATGGAGCACAGCTCTGCTCTGGCATATATGGGAATCACCAAGTCAGAGTCAAATTTACAGCAACTGGATTTTCACTTAGAGAAACGCTGAATATCACTAAGCACAAAAATAAAGTCTAAATGAAAATTGCATAAGATAAATGCACATCCATTAAATTAGTGAAAACAACCAAAAAGAAAATGTAGTATTAGACCTGGAGAAACATTTGGCAAAATCACTTGGAAATATTAAAAATCGTAAAAACTGGTCAGAACCTCTGACCTAGTAATTCCCTATTCCATATCCCAGGAAATATCTCAAAAGAAAAACAAGCCAGTCATTTCTAAGCTATGAATAGCTGTACTATATAAAACAGTGCTGCAGAGCAGTGAATTACTTGCTCTGACTCCCCAAGCTGTAGTCTTTGTAATTCCCATCAAATGACTGGGTGGGACGATGCAAATAAGATATGTTGTTATTAAGTGCTGTCGAGTCAGTTCCAACCCATAGCAACCCTGTACAGGGTTTCCGAGGAGCAGCTGGTGAGCTTGAACTGCTGATCTTGCAGTTGAAACGGCTTTGCAGTCTGGTGCATTAACCCACAGCTCCACAGGGACTCTAATGAGGAGACTGGTCAAAACTGGTCAGTTTTCCCATCCCACTGGATTTAAAATGCGCCATCCCAGTATCGGGGAGAGGGGATCTTACTACCAGTAAGAAAAGAGAGTCAGGAGTGTAGCGCGTCCTTTGGGCCTCAAGATCCTTGTGGCGAGTATCCTCCATCCAGGAGAAAGGGCTGTGACACCAGAGACATGGTTGAGGAGCAGTGACAGCAGGAATGCCAGCAGCAAAATCAAGGTCACAAGTCAGAAGAGTGGGTTTGTGGCCCACAGACCCAGTGAAGCTGAGTGCCATTTGGCAGAAGGCTTGCTTGTGGAGTACAGAGGTTCTTGGTACTTAATTGGGGAAGAAAGTTTTGCTGACTCACAGCGCTACAGATGAGCTCCTGCAGGCTGATGCTTGCAGTGGAGAGGAGTGCTCTTCCGGCATGTATCGGCAATGCTAAAAAAGCTTTGTAACACTTGTTTAAGCAGGCCAGAGGCCAAGGGCCTTTTGACTAAGATGTCGAAGACCAGAGAGAGGTATGTCTGTGGGTACAACTGAGAAGAGACACTCCTGAATGGAAGAACTCCATCATGACTATTTCTGTGGTACCCTGTTAACTACCAACTAAACCCTATAGTTCCAAGTATAGCTGGTGAGTTCTGTGTGACTATTACAATGAATTATTGAACCCAACAGAGAAGTAGGAATGTCTTGGGTAGGACAGCTGGTGTCAGAACTGATTGGAAGGTGGAGGTATGTCTGACCTCCACACCTCATAGGAATAGGCCTTGGGTTGATGGTGAATTTAATTCTCCCTCCCCTTTGTGAAGTTAGAGGAGGTCAAACATCGCCCCATGGAATGCTTGCAAATGTAAAACTAAAAATACCCAAATGTCCAAGTAGGGAGTGACTAAATAAACTAAATTTATAGTAACATGAAGTGAATTCAAAAGGGAAAGTAAAAAATTATTGCAATTAGAATTCCAGTTCATACATGTACAGGTTAATTCCAAACAAAGCATGTTTAAACATGTCTTAGTCTTGCTAGGTGTGGCACTGTAGGATTAAGCACTGGATAGGAAGATTGGTTTGAACTGCAAGGTTGGCAGTTCAAACTCACCAGCCACTCTTCAAAAACCCTACACAGAATCATGATGAGTTGGAACTGTCCTGATGGCACTTTACAACAGTCTTGTTAAGCTGTTTACAGAAAAAGGTCCAATCAAAACTGTGACATCTGAGGGGATCTGCTGGGTCAGAGCAGAGAGGTCAGCTCAGAAAGTTATGGCAACTCTTTTTTGGTATTCCAAAATGATTATCTTGATAAGCTTTCTTGAAGGACACAAGATGATAACAAGGTCTTATTATGAATAAATTTTAAGAAAATGGAAAACAGCATTGGTGAGAAAAAGATGCATTTTTCACGACGACAATGCATCCGCTCATTCTTCAAGGGAAGGTAGGACTGTCCTATTTTACAGAAATTCACTGGGAAACCATACTCCACCCAACCTCCAATCTCAATTTTGCCTCTTCAAACGTTTTTTCATTCCCAACTCAAAGAACATTTTAAAGGAATATCTGAGTTCCTCGAGGATGCTAAAAATGCCGTCAATGTAATATAGACTGAAAAGCACAGAATTCTTCAGGGGAGGGTTTGTTGTTAAATGCCACCGAGTCAATTCTGGCCTATAGTAACCCTGCACAGGGTTTCCAAGGAGCAGCTGGTGAGCTTGAACCACTGACTTTACAGTTCAAACAGCTTTGCAGTCTGGTACATTAACCCACAGAGCTACACCAGGACTCTGGGCTAAAGAGATGGAAAAGCTGTCTTCAAAGTATGTAGAGCTAGATGGAGGATACGTTGAGAAGCAATAGCTCTGGTAGGATGAACACTTGACTGCTAACCTCAAGGATTTCCAAGAGCAGATAGTGGTTCAAATCCACTATCTGCTCTTGGAAATCCTATACAGGTCACTATGAGTCAAACCTGACTCAGTGGCACTTAGCAACAACAATTTTGCAGAAATACTTCTTCACTTACCGTCATACATTGCTGTTGCTGGTAAGTGCCAGAGAGTTGGTTCTTATTCATAGCCACCAACTCAAGTACTCAGGACATGCTATCAGGAGAGACCAATCCCTGGAGAAGGACATCATGCTTGATAAAGTAGAGGGTCAGGAAAAAATAGGAAAATTCAGTGGCTGCAACAATATGAACTCAAACATAGGAACGATCATGAGGATGGTGTAGGACCAGGCAGAGTTTCGTTCTGTTATACACTGGGTTATTATGAGTTGGAACTGACCGGACAACACATTAACAACATTCAATATTGTGATACAACAGGAGTAGACTATACAAAATATTCAGACAATGACCACACTCTTACGACAATCTGGAGTGCATGGCAAAAGGGTAAGGCTACAGAACCGTATAAATATCTTGTGTAGAGAGAGCTCTTGTGTAATTTTGTGTGACTGCTAGTTTGTGGTTATTTTCTATTGTGTTGTTGCTGCTTATAGGTGCCACCGAGTCAGTTCTGACTCATTGAGACCCTAAGTACAACACTGCCTGGATTTGCACGACCCTCATAATTGTTGTTACACTTGCGTCCACTGGGCCGTCACTGTCCCAATCCATCTCCTTGTGGGTCTTCCTCTTATTCACTGACCCTCTGTTTTACCAAGCAGGATATCCTTTTCCAGGTGGTTAAATAGCTCAGAATTTTCACAAATAACTATACTAAACACACTCTAGCATAGGAGTGTGGAGCTATTTTCCCAAAGGACCATAACAGAGTACTGTTAGTCATAAAATGCGCTATTTATACAGAAGCTGTTGGCTGATTTCTGGCAGAACAATGGAAATGTGACTGCAGATAGCAGGCTGGGTACATTACTTGGTTTTCATTTCCTTTCTTCTAGGCTGTTATGAAACATATTGATATGGAAAAAAAGTCAGACAAACTGCCTGCTTAAGAATTGTTGTTGTTAAGTGCCATCAAGTCAGTTCTGACTTATAGCAACCCTGTATAGGGTTTCCAAGGAGCAGTTGGTGGGGGTGAATTTCTGACCTTATGGTTAACAGTCCAGTGTTTATCCATCAAGCTCTAAAATGCACCTCATACATATTATATGGAGTCCTGGTATGTCACTGTAGGATAGTACTGGACTACTAATACTAAGGTTGGCAGTTCAAACTCACCAGCCACTCCACGGAAACCCTATACACAATCACTGAGTTGAAACTGTCTTTACACTCCTTACCAACACATTATATAGAAATACAACCTTAGAAACCAGGACAGCATGAGTCTGCCTGGTTTACTTTGGATACACCACCTGGAAAGACCAATCTAGAAAAGGACATCATAGTTGGTAAAGTGGAGGGTCAGCAGAAACACTGAGCTGGAGCCACACATTAACCGCAATACTGGGCTCAAAGATATCAAAGATCATGAAACTTGCGCAGAACTGGGCAGCGTTCTGTTCATTATACATAAGGTTTCCCTGAGTTGGAGCGAACTCAATGGTAGCTGACAACGTGTATCATGTGGCAATGCAACAGAGGGACTGGCTGTTGTCCTGTCAGCAAGAGTGCACAAGTATAGCAGAACAGTCCCGACGTCCTGGCCCAGGATATCTGTTGTCCCTCCTTTCCCTGAGCAGCAGATGCAGGTGAAGCTCAGGGTGGGGGCAGAAGTATTTATATTTACCACAGTTGACTGGATCCTCATCAGAACCATCTTGGCAATCTGTGTCCCCATCACAGGCCCAGCGCTGAGGGATACAGTGTCCACTGTGGCATTGAAAGTTGGAGGCCTCACAGGTGTGATAGATGGCTGCAAACAAAATAGGAGAATAAAACGGTCATCCCTCCTTCACCTTCTTTCCCTTCATCAACCACCGAAACATATTGTTGAAACAACAACAAAAAAAGACAGTGCTAGGTAATCCCCCTCACTACCCATCTGTCAGTTTGTTGAATTATGGTGGCTTATGTATTACTGTGATGCTGGAAACTCTGTCACCAATATTCCAAATACTAGCCGGATCACCCACGGTGGTCAGGTTTCAAAGTGGACCTTACAGACTAAGACAGACTAAGAAAGGCAAGCCAATTTACTTCAGAAAATTAGCCAGTGAAATCTTATGGGTCACACAGGTTATTGGTCCATATAACGCTGGAAAATGAGTCCCAGAGGTTGGCAGGCATTCAAAATAAAAATCAGTGTAACAATGGAACCAGGCATGCCAACATGCATGAAGGGTAAGCAGGACCAGCAACATTTGTTCCGTTTATACATGGGATTACCATGAGTCCAAGCCAATTTGATGGCAACTAACACTAACAACTATGGTGCTGTAGGATAAGCACTTGACCTCAAGGTTGGTTTGAACCACAGGGTTGGTGGTTCAAACTCACCAGCCGCTCCTTGAAAACCCTATACAGTGTGTCTCTGTGATTCGGAACTGACTCAACTGGCTTAAAAACAACAGTAACAACTAGGCACTAAAGCATGAGTTGAAGAGTTTGAATTTCTCCTCAGACAGCAGGTGATTTTAAAAGTGATGATCTGCCCTGTAAACTTTCACTCAGCCCACAATAAAAACCTTTAAAGAAAAAAAAAAAGCCCTCAGAGCTTAGAATTTCCTAAGTTTCTGTGCAGGGGAGAGCAGTATCGCACAGCAAACAATACATGGTATCCATTACATTACAGTCATTAAAAGAAAAAGGGAGCAATGAAACAGAGAGCCATTGTTACCAATGGACAGCGTCATTTGTACACAAGAGTTGGAGCCACCTGGAAGTGATTCAAAAACATCTCAAAACTCTGGTCAAAGACTAGTTCAAATGCATATCTGCCTCAAATCCCACCAACACTACCAATCACCTTCTCCATCGGATTTCCCCATTCCTCCTCTTAGACAGAGAGCTATTTGTGTCTGTTCTTTGCTGAGTGAAAGCCAAAACAGGTCTTATTTACAATTGGCATAAAATAATATAATCAAGATAGATGAGCTCTCTGTTACTGTGGACTGGATGTCTTCAGAACAGCAGGAGGCAAAATAAACACAAGGGGTTGCTGAGCACAAACTACAGTTAACTTATTCAACTGAGACAGCTGGTAATAAGCGACTCAAGGTTTGAGGAAATTGACTTACATTTCTCTCATATTTCTACTGAATTGGAGACTATTTTTTAAATGGTCAGAAATAGAAATAACCTGATTTTTCAAACACACAAAAAAAGTCATCATACATTCCCTATGTCATCTTCTGTGAAAACTGAGGCTATCCATGGCAGCCTGCAAATAAAACTAGAGGAAGTTTCAATATTTGACACCCTTTGGTATTCACAACCCATTAAACATCTTTTTTTAAAATACACTTCTCTCTCTAGAAGAATAAACGTATCACGCATGTTACATGAGCACTTGCCCGAGTTAACAGCCATCGCCTGAAATTATTTTTGACTTATTGGTTTCATAAGTCTGAAAGCCTTTTAAAAGATTCCTCACCAGACCTGTGCTCACTTTTACAGAATAGAAAACTGCAGAAGCCCATTGCCATTCGAATCTACTTATTATTATTCAGCCTACGCATTTCCTTTTTAATTGAAAACAATTTTGGAGTGCTAACAGAGTTTCCAAATGACAATTCTTGGAGGCAGATGCGAGTTCAGAAAGAGTAATTGGTTAGTACAATTTCACATAAGTGGCAAAGTATGACTGGAATGCATAACTCTGAGGTTTTTCATTTTATTACATGTCTCTTTTGGGGGTTTTCCTGTCTTCTGAGTAACTTACTGGTTATAACTTAAACCAAATACACTGCTGTTAAGTCGATTCTAACTCGCAACAACCCCTTATAAGGTTTCTGAGACTGTAAATCTTTCTAATAAGGAACAGACAGCCTCAGCTTTCTCCTGAGGAGTGAATGGTGGGTTTGAACCACTGATCTTGTAGCTAGTAGCCCAACACCTAACCCATAATGTGAACACCTGGTAAGTAATACATGTTTTTTTGTTTTCAGTTTTAATTACAGGGAAGAATGGAAGATACTGACTTTAATCTAGACTAAAAAATTTAGGCAAGTAAAAGAATTATTTGCAAGACATTGTGACTAACGGCAGGGCTGAAGGGATAGACAAAGACGGAACTGGAATATCAGGGTCTCTAGTAAAGATCATCTTATGACTTAGAGGAGCCCTAGTTGTATACTGGTTAACTACTTGGCTGCTAACTGAAAGGTCAGTGATTTGAACCCACCAGTGGCTCCACAGTAGAAAAATGTGTATGTTTCCTTTGACTTGAACTCAGCATGCCAACTAGAACACTTGGTCAAAGCATTGTTGTTATTAAGGGCCATCAAGTCGGTTCCAACGCATAGCAACCCTGTATTAGGTTTCCGAGGAGTAGCAGGTGAGCATGAACAACTGGCCATGCAGTAAAAATCCTCCTTGTGGTCCAGCACATTAACCCACAGTACCACACCAGCATTAACCAAACATAAGTGAGGCAGAACAGATGAATTCGTTACTATAACAAGGAAAGCGCTGCCCCGTTTCTTTGAAAACACAGGACTGCTAATGAGTGCATGAGCAAAAGTAAATGCTAATATAAATACAGCTTGAATGGTTAATGTTTTAAGAAAAAGAAACATGAAGCATAAAGAAAAGTCACTGAAACATAACAGGCAGATTTAATAAACAACCATATTTTAGATATTAAAAATGTTTTAAAAAATATCATTCTGGAAATAAAAAATATATCTCAATGAGGATGCATTAAACAGTAGGCAGATTCAGTTAAAAAGACAATTATTGAACTGGAAGATAAGTCTGAGAAAGTAACTCACGCAGTAAACATAAGAAGGAGTCCTGGTATGTGATGCAGAATAAGCACTAGACTGCTAACCACAAGGTCAGTGATTTTACTGCACTAGACACTTCTTGGAAACCATATACAAGGTTGTTATGAGTTGTGGTGACTGCAGACAATAAGCAATGGACTGAGAAACGTAAAGTAATTTGAGCCCACCAGCCACTCTTCAGGAGAAAGATGTGGCTTTCTGCTGCCGCGGAGATTTTTAAAGCCTCAGAAACCCTATACAGGGTCACTGTGAGTCAGAATTGACTTGACGGCACTTAACCACAGGAGTAGAACAGGCTTGACAGCAATTAACAACAACAAATATACAAAGAGCTAGGAGACAAAAGCAACTGAATCAAACAGTTCAACAAATGGCTAAAAGTAAATACAGAAGGAGAAAACAAACACAGGCGTAAATTGGTATAGCTGAAGAAACAGTACCTATAATGTCCAAGAATTGATGAAAAATACAAATCCTCAGATTTTAGAAAGAAAACAAGTCTCAAGCAGGATTTAAAAATAGAATATCTTAGTTTTATATTTTAAAAATCCTGAACTTAGTTAGCCACTGTTGTTATTATTCTGACGGCGGAATTAAAATCAACACACAAAAAAACAAGAAATGTAATAACTCCATCAAAATAGTTGTGGAATTCCAACCACATTTGTATTCAGGGTTGAGGGTGAAAAGAGAGTCATGCTCTCAATAACAAAGCTTTGACAGAGTTTATCACTTGTAGACACCTACAAGAACTACTGAGGGATTTATACAACAGGGAAGCATTGAGCCCAAAATGCAAAAGTAGCTGCTAAATAGGAATGCACCAGCAAACAAGTTGAACTATTTAGGAATAACAGCAACAATGACAATTTTCAGGAAGTTTAAAATACAAAACTGAAATTAGTAAATACTAGTAACATGGCAGAGATGGTATTCAAAGAGTTCTAAAGTTACTGCGTTGTTTAGGAGAGGAAAACGATACTGAATTGTGTAAGAGAGGAAAGGATATTGCAACATATGATGTGTACACAGACAACAGAATATATTCAGCCACAAAGAGGAATGAAGTACTGATGCATGCCACAACACGGATGGACATTTTGCTAAGCAAAATAAGTCAAATACAGAGAGGCAAACACTGTATAATACCACTTATATAAAATAAGCAATTATATAGAAATCATAAACTATTAATGGCCACCAGGGGCCAAATGGGAAAGTGAGGGTTTTTGCTAAGAATGTAATGACTGTTTAATGTGGTGGGATAATTTGGATAAAGATAGCAATAATTTGCACAAGTTGAAGAATGTAATCAAAGTTGCTGAAATATACAGACAGAAACTGATAGAATATTACATGCTCTGTTGTATGCATAATGTATATATAATAATAATAATAAACATTTTAAAGGTAATAGCTAAAAGAACAGAATCATGTGTAACTACAAAAGCAACTTGAGGGTAAAAGAAGACGACTCAAACAAGCCCAAGGGAGAAAAAAGGGGGAGGGAACAGCAAAGAAAAAGTTTGATATAGCAAGGGCCCAAGAGCTGCCGCCCAGTGGAGGTCAGCTGGCCCTGACCTATTTTCTTTGCCCTTGTGACAATAGCTTAATTTATTAGGACGGGAAACAAAGTATCATGTCACACATCGTAATGAGCTCATATCTGACCGCTGTCTATTTTGGGAGGACAGAGAAAAGGAATCACCTCTAAAAGGTTTAGGAGACCAACAATTAGAGCAGTAAAGACTGTATGTGTTTCCCAGTGAGTTCTGCCAAAAGGAACCCCAAGATGAAACTAGGAGTTTACAACAAACCCACCCAAAGAAACTAAAAAGTTGCTCAGTCATTCTGCAGGGTCAGCACATGCTACTACAGTTTTGTTACCCAGATGTTCTAATCAGACTGCAGTTTACTAACTGAAATGCCCAAACACTTCCCTATAATTTATTAACTAATTATCTGAACCCCAAACTTCCAAATAGCATTCACGCATTTCCTGGTCTGATGACAGTTCCTTCACTGATGTTGTTTTTTCCATTCCTTCCTTAGTAGAACATGTTTATAGACATTTTCTTTGCTAGGAGCAGAAATACTGAGACTGAGACAGGGCCAGAAAGGACATTGGTTGATATTTACAAGGGTGTGTATAGGGGGGTGGGGGGTGGTGGTAGCGTCATAAAGCATCCTGTGAGACAAAAATGGCATTTGAGGAGATCCATTTACTCTATCAGGCCAAATGAGGTCGCCTCTAAACCAAACGCATCCAATAATACAACTGGGTGAAATTACAACAAAGGTTGTTCCCTGAGCATGTACGTATGTGCTGGGTACTGTACAGAATGCAAAAGAATAAAGGACAAGGTCACCGCTGACATTCAAAAGCAAAATTGCAGCCAAGGCATAATCCAAACTTATTTATATTTGAGTTTGAGATGTGTGACATTTTCCCTTTGGTAGTAGATTTATCTTCTTTCTTATGTTTGTTTTTACAATTTAATTGGCATGCATTGAGCTCCCAGATGCCCAATAGTATGGGAATCTTTGGGGCAATATGGAGGCAAAGGAGAATAAGTCACAGGATTCAAATGCCATTCCAATAATTCCCAGGATGAATAATCCACACCAGGCAATTGAGAAGACTCTAACAATGAGTTGTAAAATGAAACCTGTATTAGGGTTTAAGAGCAGATCTGCCCTGTCCATACAATGGCTAAACTAAACATCTGCAAGAACTGCATGACAAATTGAGAAATGATTGCAGAGAGAATTTACTCATCAGGAAGCCTCATTTATTCCTTTCTCCTCCAAGTCCTTATTTCTCCTACCCTACCAGATGTACATGGCCCCATTCATTCATTCATTCATAAAAATAACACAATGAACGTAAGTGAATTTACCATCCAACAGAAGAATTACTACATTACCTATAACTTACATTCACCTAGCATTGCTCTCTTATTCTCACTGATTGTTTCAGTACTGCTCAAAGTGTGGTCTTCAGGCCAGGCACCAGTTTGTAAACTGTTTAGCTCTGGTCCTAAGAAGCTTGAGCCCAAATGTAAACCAAGTATTATCGTTCTGGATTCTGTGTAGTTCAGATGGCCTTTATGTCATTGCAAGACTTTCTCAATGAAGGAAGTAGTGCATCAAATTACATTCTGGCACAAGCTCTTTATCGCATCATCGACCAACTCTTTGTAAAACACTGAACTTGGTGTCTAAGGTCTGAGACAATTCTCAGAGTCAGGATTTAAAAGGCTGTGATGCTAGTCAAGCCTAAACAGATAAATGGTCTTGAACAGAATTCAGGAAGTACTGACCAGTGCAGTTGGCTTCATCAGACCAATCCCGGCAGTCATTGTCCCCATCACACACCCAGGAAGAGCGGATGCACATGCCAGAGCTGCAATTGTATTCATCGCTTCGGCACTGGTGAGCTTCTGCAGGTGAGACAGAAACAGAGAGGTTTAAAAACAAAACCCTGCCATACAACATTAAACCAATGACCCCAGCAGCTTAGAACTCTACCAGTGGTATCAAATTTCATAAAGGCTAGATATGAACCCCTTAGCACTGATTATTCAGAGATAATAGGGATGAAGAAACCTTTAAGTAGGGATATGAAATCTAGAACAGTTTCCAAACTCAGTTACAGGTAAGCAGAGCTATCACTACTCGCAGCCTCCTATAGCTGGCTGTCTCTAGAAAGACCAACTCTGTTCATTTAGTCCAGTGCACTCCATAAATATGACCAGTTTTCACGCTTGGTATAAGAAACATCTACTTTTGAAAAGCAGCCAATGAATACCTTATGGAAACCATAGGTTTTTCTGATCCTATTGCACATTGGTCGCCATGAGTCTCGATGCTAACGCAGCAACAACAAACTTGCTACAATGTGAACAAGCTAAGAAGCAATGCTCTAGGCCAGCAGACCCCCGGGAAAAACAGAAGTCTTGTAGAGACAGTGTCTGTGGCTTTCAAAAAGGAGCAAGGCGAGCTCTCGGTGTGCTGGTCAACAGGAGCAGCTCAGGGAAAGTGAAATGAATGTTAAGCTTCTGAAGAGAAGAAAGACAAGTAAGGGACTTCCTGTAGGTGAAGGGTGGGGGCCTGAGCCCAATGGAGTAGTGCAACCTAAGACTTGGAAGAAGTCAGTACTGGCAGCATCTTTTGTGAGCCCCTGGGATACTATTACCACAAAATCTCCGAGCTGAATTTTCAAGATCCGCAGAAAACAGGAGTAGCTAGCATGGGGCCCACAGTGGCTACCCAAGTTGCCCTGCCCTTGCAGCTCAGAATTCTTTCTCTGTAGCTCATAAAAGTTACAGATGAACCCATGATCATTGATTTCCCAGAGACAGCATGGATGAAGAGACCTTTAAGTAGGGCTATAAAGTCATGGGATGGTTAAGTTGGTGATTCAGGTATTTTATGAGGAAATTATCTGGAGACTAATGAAGTAGACTATAGGTGAGAAAAGAACTAACTGGGCCTTTGGGATGGATCCAGGATAAACTGGCAAGAGCAGGCCATGAATGATAAAGATCTGGATGACGGCTGCCACTGTTCAAAGGCCAAACCTGCATCCAGTGTGTGAAACAGATGGTACCAGAGACATGTATGTAGTATGTGAACTTTCTGACTGCCTGTGGTAAACTTAGCTGTGACTTGGAATAGAGCACACATACCGTGCTGGGAAAGAAATGGTAGTAATCAAAAGAAACAGTTGTGAATCCAAAGAGACATTTTCAGGTACTTTTCATTTTTACCAAAATGAGGGAAAATGATGTAACCCCCAAAATTCCTTCAGATTAGAAGAATCTTGTGTGTGAAAGTGGCCCTGGATGTGTTCAGCTGGATTAATCATGTACACGTATGTGTGAGCAGCCCTGAATCCCTTACCTCAAGGTCTATGTACAGGTATGAGCAGCTCCAACTCCCTCACCTCACTGCTCTGAGCCAGAGTAGCCGCTGCCCAGTCAGCAGCCCTGCCCATAGCCGAACTTTCCATGCCTTCATAGACAGGGAGAAGGAGTGCCACACGGGCTCATCACAATGTCTGAGACAGTGGCTAGACTCCATCTTCAGTTCCCTTCAATGCGTAAGATGCCCTCAGTCTGGGCACTGTGTGTGTGTGTGTTGCATAATGTTTCTTCTGTAGACAGGCAGAAGCTACACGTTAGGACCCAAGCCTGTTGACAAGGATGGACCCTCACGGAATGGACAGGAGAGTGTGTGCAATAGAAAGATCCTGGAATTAGAAAACAGGAGAAATGGGCTCCTGCTTTGTATTCTGTCATAAACTAATCTAACCATATAGGGCTTAGTCATTGAATCTCAAAATTACAATAACTGAACTAGAGAATCTCTATCATGTCTTACAATTCTGACAAACTAGTGTTCGAAATATAAACTATTTCCATTCAGGAAAGACATGATCAATCAATGCTAACTCCAAATAGATAATCCTCATCATCTGCTGACTCCAGAGTTCACTCAATTAGACTGGCTAAAGCACAGACATGTGTCTTGTTGCTGTTGTTGTCAAATGCCATAGAGTCAGTAGCGACTCACAGCAATCAGGTATAGGGTTCCCAAGGCTGCAAACCTCTGTGAGAGTGGAAAGCTTCATCTTTCTCCTGTGGAGTGGCTGGTGGGCTCAAACCGCCAACCTTGTGGTTATCCTATAGCCAGGCTTATCCTATAGACCACCGTGCACCTCCAATATATGTTATAAGAAGGCAAAAACCAGTTACTCAGGTGTGTGAGGCATCACTATATACCTGTTATTAACCTCATTTGGAAATCTTCCATCTTTATACCATCTCTGAAAGGTAAAGCCAAAAATCCCAAGCCACTAGCTATTGAGTTGACCCCAGCTCATGGTGACTTCATGTGTGTCACAGTAGTCCTGTGTTCCACAATGTTTTCAATGGCTGGATTTCTGGAACCAAGCCCATGCCTTTCTTCCAAGATGTCTCTGAGTGGATGCATACCTCCAGCCTTCCCATTAGTACCAGAGCGCCTTAAATATTTGTACCACCAGGGACTCCCTCAAAAATAAAGCAGGGTCCTCGCCCTCATTTTACAAATTTGAACACAAATCTAACCAAAGAGTAAATATGTGACAGAAGATGACCAAAAAAATAGGCACCATCTTTTCTGCTCATGAATCCAATGTTTCCATTCACTTTGGATCACATTTTTCCAATGGAACTGAATCCCCGTGATAAACAGCAAAGAGCTAGCACTGCTCTCTTACCACAGTGAGTTTCATCACTGTTGTCTCCACAGTCATCCTCCAGGTCACATTTATAGGAGAGGGGAATACAGGTCCCAGACTCCTGGCAACGGAACTGGGTGTCCAGGTCACAAACAGTGGTAGCTAGAATGGGGGGAGAAAAGTAAGGAATCCCAGTTAGGTAGAGCAAAGTCTTCTGACACACAAACATATTTCTGGAAAACGAATTTCAATCAAAACCAAAAGAAGGCAGATTTTAATTTCAGCTACAGAAATTAAATCTAGACTTGCACAGGAATGAACTGCATGAGAACTTGAACTTCACAAGCAAGGAAGATAAGGGCTTATCTTAACATGAACAGCTTCTAGGTCAGAACAGGGCTCAGAAAAGTGAGAAACTGCTATCTGTTTCTGAGAGTAAGAGAGAGATGGACTTGATTATCACCCAAGATCCCTTCAAATGTGAAGGCTTGGAAACATAAAGGTTCCTCCTGAAGTAAGTGGCAGAAAAACCTTTATCTAGAAAGGTGCCATTAGGGAAGCGAGCCCAATTGCACATACGACCAGTGTTTTATACGAGGGTGAGTCGACAAGTACTGTCAGAGAGGTTCCAGTTCATACATGCATGGGTGTATTATAAAATGTGTTTACACGTGTCTCTGTGATCAGTGGATGGCTGCAGAAAAGTTCTCTCATAAATACACTTGTCTGAGTCTCAATGAAAGAGCCCTGTTGATGCAGTGTGTTAAGTTGTTGAACTGTTGAATGAAACGTTGGTGGTTTGAATCCATCAACTGATCCGTGGGAGAAAAATGAAGCCATCTGCTTGGATAAAGATGTGCAGTTCTGAAACTCAGTGGAGCACCTGTACTTTACTCCATCCAGAGTTTATCGAATTCGATTGGCTAAACACAGGTCACAAAAGTACAGATGTGTGTGTTCCGGTTTGTGCCATATAATCAGAATCCACTTGATAGCAATGGGTCTGGTTTTATTTTGCGCCTCACTTTCCTCAACAATAAACTGAGGATATTAGAAGGTAGCCTAGCAATTGTGACCAGTCACAAAGTCCAGATCAAAATTTTGATTCGACCCCTTAAGACTTAGCTGTAACCATCTGTACCTCCAGAGAAGAGACCTAGCTCATACTATTACTTTGAAGATAAATAAAAAGCAAAGTTGGGAACAGAGCCTATAAAATACGGTTGAAATAGAATGGCTTGAAACCAATGCCCAATTGTCTTCCTTGGCAACCCCCTCCAACACCAGGGTAAGTACAGAGTTAGATTTGTTCTCTATTCTGCATAGAAATTTCCTGAGTTTAAGCACAATCCCTTAGACCTGGAGAAAACCTGCCAAGGAAAGTTGTAGGGAAGTAGCTGAAGGGCTGATGTGACAAGACAGAATCCTGGGATGGAGGGTGTGGGTGTGCAGTGAAATGAGAAGCCAAAAGGCATCACTGCTGTTAGACATCCCCGGCAGCTCTTATTTGAGGCTCCATTTCTTCTCTGTAATTGAGCTCGTGGTGGGAGGAAGGGGATGAATGCAAAGATGACAAGACTGCAGGGGTTCACACCAGAACCCTGAGTGCCTAACAACTACTCAGCTGGAGGAGTCTGTTCACAAGGCAGGGAAATCTACTGACAACATCCCTCCCTTGTCTCCCTTCATCTCCCTTCGGTGTCTCATCCCTTAACTTCCAACACAGTTCCTCTCCTGCAGCCCCTCCCCACACAGGATGGACCCTCACCAACTGGAAGAGCACCGCTCCCTCTGCTGCTCACTCCCTTGGAAAAAGAAGCTGGGAAAGTAAGCACTACTTTCTAAGCCCCTGCATTCCTCATCTCCTGGCCTCTACACGTCTGACTTGCCCGACCTGAGTCCATTGGAATTGGGAGAGAGAAGACTAGAAATCCAGTGTCAGGGACTCAGGAAGGCCAATCTCACCAGGAATTTACACCAAACCAGGAAAAGGTCGGCACCAGTCCCATACTTCACAGTTGTACTCTGACACACACAGGGTTGTCATGAGTATAAATAAATTGACTCGGTAGCATCTGGTTTGGCTTTTGTGTTTGTTTTGCTTTAGCCATCCTGCCATTCAGTAAGCTTGCCTCTCTCCATGTGAAAGAGACTCACAGAAGCCAAAGGAAAATGGCTAAGGAAAGATCTTGGTAAACAATATTCAATAACTTGAAAGGTTACTGCAGGGCTCAGAGGAGTACAAAGAACTGCCTCCTTCTAAAGCTGCTTACTGGGTTAAGTGGCATATGGATCTGGTACAGGTTCAATAGGTGGCTGGCCAAAGACAAGGGTAACTCAAAAAGTCTTGCTACAAAATCACAGAAACCTGTATTAAACAATATCAAATTGTGATGCTAGTGCGTCTCAACATCTCTATCTAGGTCTACACACTTCTGAAGGTAGCATTTCCAACTCTTAGCCTAATCCTTCCCAACGGGAGTATGGTATCTCTGTAGGCTAAGCATTGGACTGCAAGCCACAAGGATAGCAGTTCAAGATCAGCAGTTCATCACACATGACCTTGTGCTCCCACAGATTTAAAGTCTTGGAAACCCTATACAGGATGGCTATGAGTCAGAACTGACTGATGGCACAACCTCCCTTCCTTAGGAGTTCTGGTGCACTCTGTAGTATAAAATGCAAGGTGGTAGGTCAAACCCACCAGCTGCTCCCTGGAAACCCTATACAGGGTCACTATGAGTAGAGCTGACTCCGAGGCATGTAACAAGAACAACCCTTCCCTGAAGAATCCTGTACTCTAACTTATATCATGTCAAAGTGAAGCTTTGGCATCCTTGAGGGACTCAGATCAGTCTCTTTTTAAATGTTATTTGAGTTTGGGACAGAAAGAAGTCGGATGTGGCCAAGATCAAGGCTGTTGGGTGGATGCAGTAAGGTTTCTCAATGGAATTCTTATAGGACAGGCCTTGCTACCCTCAAACGATAGAACAGATGCATTGGTATGATGGAAAAAAATTCCCCAGTGCAGTTTTCCTGGACTTTTTCATATCAATGCAGTTTTCCATCTTCTTAAAAATTCATAAGCTCCCATGATCATCCTATGTCCTTTGAGAAAAATCTATCAAGACAACACTTTTGTTGTTGTCAAGTCAGTTCTGACTCATAGCAACCCTGTATAGGGTTTCTGAGGAGCAGATGGTGTGCTTAAATTGCTGACCTTACAGTCCAGTGCATTAATCTAGGACTCCTCCATGACCCCTCTGGTTTCCTCCAAAACAGTCACTATAACCACCTGAGCTGATCTCTCTACCTTGACTTTAACTGACCCAACATATTCCCTTAGGAACTACTATTTCAATTGGACCATTCTCTTTTTTTGGTTTGCAGGCTCCCTAACAATATTAAGACAAGTGTATTGCTGAGAAATCTAGTCTGCAGCCATCCATTGATAGCAAAGACATGTTTAAACACATTTTGTTTGAGATAAACCAGTGCACGTATAGACTAGAATCCTAGTAGCAATACTTTTTTACTTAACCCTGTACATACACCAGAGACCAGGTGACTATCAGGATCCACCCATTAATCGATTTTCATAATGCATATTGGAAAATGAGCTTATAGATTTCCAATGATAAACTGAGAGAAGCCTCCGGCCTGTCCACAACCTATCTTCCCAAAGCTAGAATCTTATATATCACATCAGTGATGAGTGGTTCCCAAATGCTCATCTGGTAAAGTCCAAACTTCCTAAAAGCTCAGAAGGCCTTTGCCGATCTGGACCTTGTCCACACAACCTTATTTTACGCCACTACACATACTCTCTGATTGGTATTGTTAAGTGCTGGAAAGTTGGTTCCGACTCACAGCAACCCTGTTAAGGTCCCTAGGAGCAGTTGGGTTGAACTGCTGACCTTGTGGCTAGCAATCCAGTGTTTACCCTAGAGTGTCATACCAGGGTTCCATATTCTCTGGTAACCCACACAGAACTTTCCCAGGTTTCTGTCCAGATAATACATACTTTGACCTCTAGGTACTCACATATACTACACCCTTGCCTAAAGATTTCTTCCCTCTGCCTGTGCCTGGCTCACTCGACTCACTCTTGAGGACTCTTCATTAATATCCACCTAAGTTTGATTTGGGTGCCCTTTCTATATGTACAAGAACTTCCCCAGCATAGAATTCATCATGCTACTCTGTCAATTTAGTTTCTGGACGCATGAGGGCAGGGGCTGGAAACAAAGAATACTTAATAAATATACAGATGAATGCACTGCTAACTAGGAGAAGCACTTCCTTATAAGGTGATGTTGAAGCTATTAAAAAGCAAGACAGAGGGCTACAAGTTATGGTAAGTAATCCATTATCACCAGCAGCTTGTCTTCCAGTCTTGCTAAACCAAACCACGTACTTTCGTAGTTAAAGTACACCAGCTGCTGATTCCATGTGTGTCAGAGTACACAGTGACTGTGACTCAACAGTGTAGGTGTGTCAGGGAAGAACTGTGCTGCATCAGGTTTTAAATGGCTTGTTCTCCAGAAGGAGATCATCAGGCCTTTTTCCCAAGGCACTTCTAGGTAGACTTGAACCTCCGACTTTCTAATTAGCAGTGTTTAACAATATACACCACTCAGGGACTTCACTTTAGTAGTTAAGACCTTAGAAAGTATCCAGTTTCAAGAAGACAGCCACATGGCACACACATCATGCTCCACAACCCAGGACACACAAGGCATCACTAATCAATTAGAACTCCAGGCATCACTAATCAATTAAAACTCCTCTCTTCCGAGCCTGGTATGCAGTCAATATCAATGCTGGGAACAGCATATAAAATAAAAACTGTTTGCCATCTCTCAGTTGACTGGATATTAATTTACAAATCAAAGAGTTTCATCTAGTCACATACCCAACGTCACCCAGTGTATTGCAGTGATAGGGCCAAGATTAAAGCTCAGATTGCCCAACTCCATGAGATGTTTGCTTACAAACATCTTATAAATGAGCATTTGCTTAGGTGGGGTTGTATCTTCTTAACCCTTTAAAAATCATAACATACACAGAGAAAGAAATTGTAACTGGCTCTGGAAAGGTTTCTTTCTCAGTTACTTAAGTCCCATCAGTTTAACTTGTCTTCAGCAATCTGTGGTGAGCAGCACCCCAGGGAGATGCCCTCTGCCACCAAGCTGGCCAGCCTTCTGAGCTGGTTCAACACTCAGCATCTGTGACTCAGTCATGCCCAAGACTCACGGCAGTTCCTCTCGTCGCTCATGTCCCCACAATCATTGTCAAAATCGCACCACCAGATGCTGTTGATGCAGTTCCCGTTGCTGCAGCGGTACTGATTGCGCTGACAGGTGTTTGCTGGGAGGCGGAGGGAGGAGACGAAACCAGTGTTAGTAGTGCAGCTAAACCACTAGACTCTCCCTTTCTAGTTTCCTCAAATAGCATGTCTGAGATGGCATGGGGGAAGGAAGGATGCCAAACACACGTGCATGCAGGGAAGGAAATCATTGGACAGTGAGTGGCCTTCCTCTCTCTCCTCTCTCAGTGAAAATTCATCAAAAAGAAGCAGGCTGAGGTGTCTGTGATGATAGAAAAGGGTGGTAATGAGGCCAACTAGATATTTAGAGCAACATTATAAAGTTATGTAAGCAACTTATTCATAGGCTGTATCTATATAGTATTGTTGTTATGGGCCATTGAGCCATTTCTGACTCACAGCGATCCAAGGAGCAGCTGGTGAACTTGAACCATCAACTTTGTGGTTCAAGCCAACTTTGCAGTTCAGCACAGTAGCACACAGCGCCACACCAGGACTCATATATATGTGTATTTGTTGTTTGTTAAGTGCCGTTGAGTCAATTCCGACCCATAGCGACCACCAGCTTCGCGGTTCAAATGGCTCTGCAGTCTGGCACATTAACCCACAGCGCCACACACACCAGGACTCCTATATGTGTGTATATGTATAATTAATTATATAAAACATACATATTATTGGGGATTCAAAATGTTCAGGGAAAAAGTCCATTTCTGTGAACTTTTTGAAGCCCCCCCGTGTGTGTGTGTGTGTGTGTGTGTATATATATATATATTTGTTGTTGTTAAGTGCCGTCGAGTCGGTTCCGACCCATAGCGACCCTGTACAGGGTTTCCGAGGGTGTAAATCCTTACG